AGATCATAATTCTCTCCAATAGCTTCCACTTCTAAAATGTGCCATGGTTAATTTCAGCCTCTGGCACTGCATCACAGCCCCCAGCCCCTCACATTCTGTTATGAATTATGACACAGGATAGATTGTTTTTTAAGTTTACAGCCCAGTGACAGAAAACTGCTAACCAATCAAATGAGTGTGAAGGAGGGAGCGAGAGGTAAAAACAAGTCAGTGGCAGCAAGAGTGTTCAATGGATTATTTGTGTGATCAACCGCTTGCTGACCCTGTGGTTAGATTTCTGTACATCACTGTACACACACATATCCCCTGCTGAAACACACTACTGGCTCTAACTTTTAAAAAGAACACACTGTTTTCAGGTTGATCTGTGAAGATGACTATGGGCGCACTAGTCTGCATCGCCACAGCTTATCAAGCTGCATTCCTAAACATGGCCACTGCCCAAAATGGAAGCTCTCCATGGTCTTTTATTTTCTCATTGTAATGAAGATGAAAAGTGATGCCCACGCAGGACAAAAAGAGAAGAAAGGAAATGCAAATTAATAAATATATCATTCCAGCACTTCAGCTTCTTTGATGAAGCAAAGGGAGTGGAGTTAGATCATGGTGACGGCGGGACAACATTTGCAATTTGCAAGTGTCAGTGAGAAGCATAGAGCTACAGTACCAGTAGTGGCAAATCAATCTATAATAACTAAAGCTAAAATGTACTTACATTTTTGCCATAATGTAATAAGTTAAATTATGTTGATTTTAGGATTAAAGGCAAAAACATTGATTTCCATGCACTGGTTCATTTTGAAAGTTTTTAGAGAGAGAATTTCCTTTAATTTAGTGGAAAGACAATACCCACAGCTAACAGTATTTAGTATTTAGGGATAAACAAAGATATCCAAAATTCCGTCGGAAAAAACCTTTGACTGTAGTATGTCAACATAAGCAAACACAAAAATTTTTACTTTATCCAATGTTTATTGCAAGTTAGTACAAATTCATTAAGAAATATACCTCATTTGCATATTTGAACATAACAAATAACACAAAAATAATTGTCTTGATGAAAATAATCAACTGGTGATATTTACAGTATCTGGTGTGTCTCTCCTTAATGTGAGCAGTCACATAAAAATAAGCTGCTGTGCTCCTGGCGTGATTGTTGGGTTCAAAGGTGGTCATAGTCCAGCCTGGACTGTAGGTCGTGGTGAACCCCCTTTTATTGTGATTTTAATTGAATAGCCCTTGCATGCTGTGCTGAGACAGGTGGTCTGTGTAATTAACCAGGTGATCCCCTTTAAGAATATATTAAAGCACCCTGACAAATTATTGATAAGGATCAAAACATGTCTGCATCAATCTAAACCTACATGCTAAGCAATGTGTCTAAAACATTCAGTAGATGGTGATCAAGACATGTATGACCCCATTGATTTTTTTGATAAATTCAAATTCAAATGTTGCTTTAATATTCAAGATAAAAAGCTGATACATTCCCAGATTTTTGTAATTCAATTACATAAAAATAATCAACACTTGAGGTATAACTTATGCAATACTGTGTTTGATGTTCTTTGTTTACAACAGTACAAATAACAGGGTTTCCATTTTTTATTTGAAAACGATTTTGACTCTAAATTGTTTAAGATTATTGATGACCACATCATGGTCGTAATGACGCTTCATTTGTACTCATTTTGCAGCATCACAATCCCTGGATGTGTGTTGTGTGTTAACAATTTAGGTTTGATGAATGTGTCGAAGTTGGACACTAAGTATTACAAATTTAAGTCCACCAAATATTACTCCATACACGGCACGAAACTTTGATTCAGCCCATTAAAAATGATATATTCGATGTAAATTCCTATTGTGAAGAAGTAGGCGCCAGTGTGCAGCTAGTTTTCCAATATATGAACTATAAAGTCAGCAGCCAACAGACCAAGCACATTAATTCCTCTGCAGGCCTTTCGTCTGCGTCCATTTGCCCCCCCCCCCCATCATTCTGTGGCAGCTACCAAGACGGCAGCCAGTCAACGTCAATGGCCTTTTTCACGCTGAGCCAGTCCCTACCCAGGCAACTCCCGGCACACTCTGTGCCCTGAGCCAGGCCAGCGGGAGATCCGGAACGGCTCGAATGGGCCAAGGCACAAAGGGCCAGCTGCTTGCAGAGCATTGGCCTTACATAGAAGGAAGCAGGGCTTACTGAATATGCTGGATACATGTGATCCATCTTTTTACAGTGCGGTTGTTCCAAATGGCAAATTAGCAGTGGAAAGAGGAACACATTGAAAATGAAGACCTTTATAGAGTATATATGTATTAATGTATAATTACTGAGGATTCATTGGATAATAACAAGCAAGTCAACTCGTATGCCATCCTCAGCTTCATCCCCGTCGTTTCTCTATGGCATTATTTGAAAAACAAACGCCTGTCCGCTCAAATTTGATTTGCTGCCACTTCAGCAGCTTCATTTGCGTGCTTCGCTCAGCTCAATTCCCAAACCTTCACAACACCTAGTGACCCTGACTGACATCTGTGGCATTATGTGATGTGCAAGTGTAAAACTGGTCCGACACGGCGATGCACACTCGTTGTCTGCATCAACTGCATGCCGCTCAAATTAAGCTTAAAAGCAGCGGCTTACGGAGGCAGCATGCAAGTGCACAAGCAGGAGTGTGCAAACACACCGCCGAGGCTCATAAATATGTCATTCTACAAGGAGTTTTATGTATGCATTCTTATGAGAGCTTACACTGAAAGAGATGACGTGCGGTAAGTGCATTAAATATGGCTGCAGAAGAGCTGCATGGGCTCATGTGGGGAGAGAAATAAACACAAGTTATATTGGCCAAGTATAGTCTTCAGTTCTCTCAATGATTTGTCTTCTCCTTGAATTTGACCAAACCTGGACTATGCTACTTTTGTTGATTTAGAGATCATTATTTTCAGATGATTAAAGTTGGTGACCTTAAGCTGTCTCAGACCTGAATGATTCCATTTTGTTAAGCACTCGTAAGAAAGAGCCTTTTTCTATAACCAAGAAATCATTTTCCTCTGAGTCTAAACATCATCTGTTCATTCATAGAAAATACGTAATTCACAAAATACAGCCGAGTGCTTGACAATAAAGTCAATCTGCCAAGATTGTTTTTATTGGTGAAGAAAATTTTTCACCTTGATTTGTGTTTTTGTTCAATAAGCAATATATCTTTGCATCCAGCCTGAACTCCATAGAGGCTTAGAGGCCTCCTATCAACATGCTGCTTTTGATGATACATGGAAATCAGAGTCTGGGTTAATGCTTTGCTTTAGCATCTGGCTCAGAGCCAGCTGAGCATCTGAGGGTTAGCGCAGACAAACACCTGCATGTTTCGTCACGAAGTAGAGACACCCAATTTACACGTCCTAATAAACTAACCTGAATGCATGAATATGTGACCTCCGCCAACAACATCATAAAAACGCTCTTCACCAACATATTTATGTTCAAAAAACATCATAGATATGTTAAATATAAGTGATATCCAGCATTAGATTTTAAGTTGTCAGAGATTTCCGTTATTTTCATTCCGTTGTTCCACACAAACTATCATAATAAAAGCCTCTCGGTGGAAGCTGCTCTCCCTCGAGGCAGCCTTGATGAGACAACCCAACATTCCCAAGATGCTTTGTCACAGATGCTCTTTTTGAGTAAATTAGAAAATGATTATCACAGAAAGAAAGGTCAATCTGTCTGATAGCGAAGACCAGCGTTCTTTTTTTATAGTTGAAAGTCACAGGCAAACTTTATATGAGAGATTGGATTATAATAATGTTGTGTTTGTTAATTAAAGTATTTTTTAAATGTAGGTGCTATATAGACATTTAAATAATATGATGACCTAATAAATATCGGAAAATAAACCATCAAATTTTCATCCACATTTGCTCCTCAGTCATATTTAAACATTTAAACACCCACCTCCTCAGAACCACACCACAGAAACAAAACACCACACCAGGAGAAGCATTTCCTCCGTTGTTGACATTGCTGTAAGGTCCAATTTTCAGATATGATAGAGTGGCTTTAAAAACTCCAGGCCGACAGTATTGATGTCTCAAGCACTTTAGCAGTATCTCTGTCTCCCTCACAAATACACACACACACACACACACACACACACACACACACACACACACACAACACTTCCCCTTCCTGGTAAAGTACAGGATGTGCGGATGGAGAACTAAGCAGTTTTTTTTCCTGTGTGTGTGTGTGTCTCCTCTGCTGTTGCCAGGAATGCTTTATGGGCCATGTTAATGTTGGACTTCTCTTGCTGGAGAGATTTCTTGATTCAATCAAGCAAGTCAATGCCTTGTAAAGTCATTACACTTTGTGCAATGTCATGCGTTCTGGAGCCAGTGGACAGTCCTGTGTTCTGTCCCGGCATCAGTGGAAGTGGCCTATAGCGAAAGCACGTGTGCCTGGCGCGTCAGCACCTATAAATAGCCATCACCAACTAACATAAACACTCTTCAAAAATGAATTAGAGATGCATTTTCCTGTAACTAAAAATACAGCATGTTGTCCTTGTCGACTTGTGCTCTGGGCAGACTTAGAAATAAAAGGCTTGACTCACTTTCCCACCGAAATTTGCACACGCTCAAAGCCAGAGGGTATGAGATTGCAAAAGACAAGAGGAGAGAAGATGAAGAGATTGTGTGGTAGAGAAAGAGAGAGAGAGAGAGAGAGAGAGAGAGGGGGGGGGGGGGGGGATGTTGATATCAGAGGATGAAGAAAAATACAGTGACCTCACTGATATTATCCCCTGCAACTGTGTCACTTTTCTGAGAGGGACAGAAGCGCCGCAGGGAAAACTTGAAATATGCATGCAGGAAAGGAGGAGAGGCCAGAGGGAACAGACACAGCCGAGTGTAAAGAAAATGAAAACAAGAGCAGAAGGAGAGGCGGGAAGTACTTTTTAAAGCCTCAGCACCAGCTGAAAGAAGCAGAGTCTTACCTGTTCAGAGGTTTTGGTTGGTGGGACGGAGAAATGAGGAGAGTCAAAGGGTCCCGGGGTGGTCTGGGTGGTAGGGGGGGGGGTCTCGGTCCGGCTGAAAGCAGGGCTGTAGGGTGGTCCAGGAGAGGGGAGGAAGGATGGAGTGACAGGGAGCAGGGAGACGGGGAAGCTAAAGGGGGGAGAAGAAAACGCTGCTTGCCTCTCCCTCCCTTACTCTCTCTCTTTATCTCTTTCCTCCCTCCAATATACACACACACACACACACACACGCACGCGCACGCGCGCTCGGAGGCAGACACCAAAACCCAGAGTCACTCAGATAATAGGCAGAGAAGGAGTCTTTACATTTACACGCTCTGCCACAGGGGGAGGATGGGGTGAGCTCTCCTCCCACTCTCCTCCAGGCAGCCAATGGGAGGCGACACAGAGGTGTCCAGGCAGCCAATGGAAGGGGAGGCAGCCGGTGCTTTTGCCCCAGCCAGTAAGTGCAATAGCTCATATCCAGTTGAAATAATTACAATATGGAAGGAGTCGTGGAAAGCTTCCCCTTTTTTTTTTGAAGGACAGACCGAGCCTTGCGGTCCAGTCAGGGAGTGTGATTTAGGGCTGCAACAGACATCAGAGTGATTAGATTCTGGGCCTCTTAATCCGGCACAATATCACCGCATGGTCCTCTACAGACCTGGCAGAAACCCTTCTGTGCCACACAGAAGAAAGAAAAAAAAAAAGAGGCTTCAGTCAGCTGGAGTTTAAGAATTACTCATGTGCGGTCAAACGAGCCTCGCATGCACAAAGGCAGGAACACACGACGACATGCATGGCATGTGTGTTCACATTCACAGGCTCTCACACACACCCACATGATCAATTCCCTTCTGCCACGCACAGTACATTTACACTCAGCATTCTCCAACGGCGCCCATCAACAACACCGAGCAGGGAGAAAAGTGTGAAATTTCATCAGGCGTTGTTGCCCGTATGTTCACCGGGGAGCATACCTCACTTCCACAAGTCTTATTTTATTTCCCTCCCTCCCCTCCCCTCTCAACCGATGGTTCTGGCAAGCACCCAGCTTGATAAATGATCAATGGTGAACTGTCAGGTTGAGGAATGAAAGGCACGTCACCATTCCACTCCTTATTCTGCACCGGGGAGTGAAGGAAACAGCCGTTATACTGTTACATCAAGGGCCTTGCAAAAGAAGCAGTACTTTTCCGTTGTTCTCAAACACGGCTCGGAGACCTGCTGAAAGATTTTGTGAGGGATGGAGGGAATTGTCATTCACGGCTGGAACGCCAGCTGTGGGGGGTTGCAGGTTTTTTTATATACAGTATATACTGTATATCGCTTCTTCATGATTTTTGGACAGGAGTACGCCCTGGACAGATCGGCAGTCTATAACACACACAGACGAACAAGATCACACTCACGTTCAAGCCTGTGGGCGCTTGAGTGTTTTCATTTCACCTAACTTGCACGTGTTTGAGATGTTTTTAGAGGAAAAGCCCATGCACACATATCAACTGGCAGCAGTCATACATTGGGTTTCCAGGAAATGCTCGTAGTTAATACTAGAGTACATTTTTTTCTGCCATCTCCTCTCCTTCAGCTTAAAATCCCTTGTCAACTTTAATCTGGATAGGCTTGACAATGTCTGCCAATGCTTATGTCTATCCCTTTTCCCAATTTCAGACATGGAAACATGTTCAACCATATGTCTCCATAAATTCAGTTTGTCACAGCTTTACTTAGATGTGACAGGACCATTTCAGAAATAACCACCATACACACAATGCTAATGTGACCTGGTGCAGGGAGAGGCAACAATGGCACAATGGAACGGCAGAGTTCCTGTTTGGTCATTAATTGTATGTGCTGGGTCTTTCTTTGGTAATAATTAATTTGATTAACTTTTATTTTATTTATAAGAACTGATGACTTTATATGAATTGAGTTTCGGGCGGCAGCCAATGATTACCTTCATTATCGATTGATCTCCCTTATATTTTCTGGACTCACTGTTTGGTTTCCAATGAAGTGATCGTGGTACTCTTGAAGCAGAGCAAGATGTGGATTTTCTCTCTCTTTCCATTGCCTCATTTCCACTGCGTGCTGCCAGCACGGCTCAACTTGACTTAACTTGCTTGAAACCGTTCTTGTATTGGTTCTCCATTAGCAAAAGTTGTGGATGAAACTTGGTACCACTTTGGGCGAGGTTCTGCTAAGAGTCCTGTCTGCATTGTCTACGTTTACATACATGCACAAAATATTTCATTTTTTGCTCTTATTCCGATAAGACAATATTCCTGCTGAGCTGTTTTCATGGCTACTGAAAATGATTATTCCACTAATATTTCCTCTACTATGCAGCAGTGCATACCATAACATAACAACCTCCCCCCCCACCCCCGCCTCCCCCCATGATGTACGTCCTGAAGCCGCACCCTTTAAAGGAGACATATTATACTCATTGTCAGGTTCATACTTTTTGTTTTGGATTTGTACTAGAACATGTTTGCATGCTTTGATGTACAAAAAAAATCTTCATTTTTCTCCAATAGTGTCTGTATGAACAAACGTGTTTACACCCTCTGTCTCTCTGTTTTAGCGCCGGGATCTTTAAGCCCCCCTGCTACCTGTGACTGTATAGTTGTGATACCACGATCTCACGGAGGCTGTGTGCATTTCTCCATGAATTGAACATATCGACACTTTCACAATATTCACAGCCTTTTTACGATTGCACTGTATACATGTCCAAATAATGCACCTGAAACTCAAATAACATGGGCTCATCCCACATGTCTTCATCAGTCTTAAACATGTCCTAACCTTATTCAATTTAGAATATTGTAATACAATAGTGGAATATTAGTGTGCATGTAAACGTAGGGAGTGACGGGATATTATCTGCAGTGGAAAAATATATTGAGAGAAGCACCTGGTATCATAAGTGAGTACAGTTTTTACCTAAATCTGACATAATTCATTTCAGACTTCTTTACATAATTTAAAATTCCTCTTTAGAGTTAGATTCCTTTAATGCATTAGTTCTCGCCTACAGCTCCACTCCACCATCTTAAATGAAATAATATTGGATTCAAATCCTCTTTATACAGTATATAGTACATAATCACCAGCTGTGTGAAGAGGTTAGTAGAAATTGAAAAATAAGGAGATCAGAAGAAGAAGAAGTTATTTTTCCATCTAGGTAAAACTGTTGTATGTGCAGGGCCTGCAGATCATCACATTACCTCCTTTGAAAGATCTTAGATTTGCAAAGGGGCCCTAAAAATCAATGAGGCTGTCAATACCTGAGTGCATTATAGTGTGGTCAGATATGCACAGCACAAGTGTGGCATCAAACTGTCAGTTTAGCGGAGAGTAAAATCCAGAAGTTTCTCATTCTGTCAAATCAATATCGCCAGACGGGGGATGCATGAGAAAAGAATATCCCATTACTGGGCCGCCCCTTCTATAATGCCGTCTAAGATTAAACATACAAGCATGATTCCTTGTAAGGAAAATAATTTCATGGATATTTATAATGTTTGACAGGATTTTCCCCTTTCCTGCATGCATGAGTTTGGATCTCGACGATGCAATGATTGTTAATTATCTCGCCAACGCTGTGTATTGAAATGTCTCTGGACGGAGCAAATGGCGAGATACCTACATAGTGCGATCTATGTCCTATAAGGACAAAAGGGGTCACGGATTCCAAAGGCAACACCATCATTTACAGCAGCATACTTTCACAGAACAGGGCTGATAAGAGGCCCGTCTGCGTGTGAGTGGGAGAGGAAGAGACGTAAAAAATTCATGAGAAGATGGAAGGAGACGTCACATCGAATATGTAACCAGCTACACTGATGACCATGGGCAGTGAGCTGTGTGAGGTTGGTGAGGGAGCTGTGAACTGCCACTGTACTGTAGACCAGACCTGGGGGGATTATGAGTTACACGATCACGGAGGTCTCAAAAGATGCAAAAAACAAAAGCATGATACATATAAACATATATTTGTTTTTAGTGGTTATTTGGTAGTTCGTGGTAAAGGGTCTTCGTTGATGAAAAGTCACAAACAGTATTTAACAAGAGTGGGCGTCATTTTGGTTCAGAATTTTGGCAAGAAGATTCATTTTCCCACAGTGCTGCTAAGTGACATTGTCATCCAGATACATACATAAAATATAGATGAAAACCATTCCATTGATTAAATTGCATCCGTTATGTGAAAGGCAATCAATGCTAGAATAATCTGTATTGGACCAGCGTGGTAAGTCGTGATCTTTTCACCTCTGTCCCTGAAGCCTGTTTGTCAGTCAATGGCTTCACCGTGACTTTGAATTATCCCTTTCAAATGTGAAGATCTTGGAGTAACCTGGGTCAGAGTAAAGGAGAGAGCATGTATGATGAAGTGGTCAAAGCCAATGCCAGGAATATCCACTCAGATAGCATCCTCCTCATCAATTATTTAAAGACAGGAGGGAAAAAATAGACTTAAATGCCATATATTCACAGGGGGATTAAAAGACTGGGAGATTGTTACTCATTATCTATCTAAATGTCAGTGAAATGTGAAAGCCTTGCGGTGGCACTCAAGTACTTCAGACACTACACAAATGTTGCTTAAGGCCTCCTTATTACCCTTTAATTTGATGGGGAGCATGTTGGTCTAGTTAGAGGCAGAATGCATTAAAATGGTGATATGTGAAGACATTTAAGCAAGTAGTCTTTTTTTTACACACACTTATCTTCCTGTCTATATGATAAGGTTGGTAATACATAAAAAATAAGCTTGCTCTTCTCTGAGATTAAACACAGCACAAGGTCACAATACAAAGTGACTCTGTAACCGAGCCGAATCCAGTGTTAGATCTGGGTTAATGTGACAGCGAGTCACCAGCATCGGATAAACACAGACCAGAGATCTGTGGCTTTTCGCTTCCGCCCCGAGCGTAATTAAGTCCCCCAATATCTGGTTGTCACCTTGTTGTATCATTACCGTAGCTGGATCATTTCACTGTACTTAGCTATTACTTGGCACCCACTAAATATAGCTTTCCTCAGGCAGACAGTGTGATAGCACCTCGCAGCAAAGCCAGCTGCGGGTTATTACATCCCAGCCACCCATCGCCCACTCTAGGCCTCACTCAGTCAAGAAGACTTAAATGGATAATACGCCACTCAGTCAGTTGTGTTTATTTTTCCCTGAAGATTTACTCAACCAAGGACGTTGAGGAATCGGACAGGAGTTATGATGCTGGTCTATTTTTCTTTCAACCGGGGAATGCAACCCCTCCCCCACAGTCAATTAATATAAGCCTTGCAGCTCTTGTGGGGCCGCTCAGTTGGCTGAGATGCTTAAGAGGCAGATTTGATGAAATTGAGTGGGAAGTGACTGTATTTACTGATTATTTTTAAGAAATGCTCGCTTTTTTATTACGGGTGGGCGCGTGGATAAATTCAGCTGCGCCTGATTCATAAATGACCTGCCACTAAAGATGATGCCTTAAGGCTCCCATCTAATACCGACTTAATACTAAATTCGGTATGAGTTTATTGAAATGTGACACTTGAACGAAACTGACCCGAGCAAGTTTTTACAATGTTCACTGTGCTCTGTGTTGAAGTACGGGCCTGTTAAGAACCTGTCCAGGAAACTGTTCAGCACAACATTAAACCAGGCTGATAACCATATGTTGTACAAATTGTAACCCTAGCTCTATGAAGAGGATCTACTATACAGACTTGTCTAGTGACACCTAACAGTGCAAAGAAATTTGCCTGATTAGGTGGTGAGCATCAGTCACAATCAAATAGTCCGGTGGATATGGTATTAGGGCGATACCGCACATTTAGGTGTTCAGTTATAAATATAACAAATTCGGCAGAGGAAACCTTTACTCTTGCTGTACTTTGCCTTGGTGTCATCTCTCTTCAGGACACATTTTCTTAAATTATTTCTAATTAGAATATTTTTGTATTTCAATTTAGTTGTTATTTAGCCTTTCTGATCGCCCAGATGCTGCTCCTGGTCCGGTAAATTTGTGCAAACATGGTGATTTATTCACGCACACTAAGGAGATTGATTCAAAGCACATTAGTTATTTTCGAATTTGTATTAACAGTATTAGAAACATTTAAACTACAGTAGACTACATATTATGATTTATTGGGAGAACCCAAGCAAATCTATGTAAAATCAGACATTCAGCACCCCACATATTGCCGCAATGAAATGATTTGTTGTTTCATAGCCACATTTTCCTACCACCCAGTTGAATCGGGCTCCTTAGATCAAATCCTCAAATAGTCGACTATTTAGGGTCACCCCTCTAGTTCAGATATTCATGACACCCACAAGAGGAATCATGATGACTTTTCATAACCTTCATCTTTGGCATTTTTTTGTCCAATACTTTGGTTCCAATACCTTAAAAATAATGACATACCTATCAGGCTCAGGTTTGATTTGTTTAGTGTTAATTAGTGATTGTTAGCATGCTAACCTAACCTAACCTAACATTGTGAACATGGTTAGCATTTTACCATGTAAGAAGAGAGTTTTACTAAATGTATCTATGTGTGTGTTTGATTGTTTTAGATTTTTTTGTGAAAACAAAACTGCTTATTCAGCAGTATGCTCTGGAAACTGTTTTAAAGCAATTTTATATTTTTATATGTGTGCTTCGTGTTATATTTAGATTTGACTCTGAGTTTGCGACCCCAAACTACAGCTGTCTATTTTTGGCATTTGATGTCCAGTGTCTAACTCTATTTTTTATCATTTGGATGTGTTAAAATAAGAAACCATACTGTGCATATGCTATGATTTATTCTTCTCAAAGTGAACATACACAACATGAACACATCCTCCACATCTCCCACTACATTATATATACAGATTATATTTTATATGAACCATACACACTCCACACGTAGAACATCCCCAGATGTTGCAACACCACCAATGATTCTGTTCAGCATGGATGTGGAAGCTTCTGAAACTCACTAATTAACACACAATAGCTTTTTGTTTGTTTGCCAGCTGGTTGTCTGGCAACCTCATGGGGGAAAAAATCCAGGAAGAGAAGAGCTGGTCACTTAAAGCTACAGTTAATGACAGCGATTTTGTGCTTCATTTTTTGTATGAATCAAACAACTGAGATACGACGTGTTGATTAGTGAGGGTTATACTATTTTGTATGACTCTTTTGTGGCTCTATGATCATTTTCATGACTTTGTTTATGACATACTATCCTATGATACTTTTATGATCTTTTATGGCATACTGTTTTTTATATTTTTATGACTTTTATATGACATACTACAATATGATATTTCTGATGTGACTCTTTGATGTTGTACAATAATGTGCTATTTTTATGGCAAACTATACTATGACTTTTCATGACATTTTGTAGAATACTATACTATGCCATTTTATTGATATATTATTATAGGGTATTTTTACGATTGTTTTATGATGTTGGTTTATACACCTGCAGTAACTCATAAGTAATGATAATGCTACAAGTCCCTATGAGTGAAACAACTATCAATGTAATATAACAAGAATATATATATATATATATATATATATATATATATATATACAGTATATGTGTATAATGTGTATATATATATATATATATATATATATATATATATGTATATGTGTATACTGTGTATATATATATATGTATGTATATACTGTGATACTGTATATATATATATATATATATGTATATTAGTGCTAGGCAAGTTAACGCGTTATTATCGCATTCATTAATTAACGCCGGCAATTATTTTATCGCGCGTTGACGCAGTTCTTTTTTTATTATTAAGCGGACATTTTTAACACAAGAACCGGGCAGCGAGCGATGAACAGCTGTGTTTGTGTGGCGTCACTTCCTGCTGCTGCTCCCCCCCCCCCCCCCCCAATCAAACGTGACAATACCAAAATACATATTCTCTTGTTTTTAAATGAACATACGTATAAGCACGTGAGAACAAACTGCTCTTAACTGCAACTCTTTATTAGCATAACTTCCTCATGCAGGTTACTGCCACGGTACAGACCCCCTCCAGGTTCCCTTGCTTCACCTACATTCCCCTGGGTCCTAAGTCCCTCCATGTATAGGTTCTTATCACCCTCTCTGTACCAACGTACATTTATAACAAATACCACAGATATTACCATAATCAGCGTTACATATGTGTCTGACCAAAATACCAAAAAAAGCAAAAAAGAAATGATTCATTTAAATTATTTTTTTTAGAGTTTTTGAAGTTGTTTTGTTTGTAATATGTATAATAAGCATATCATTTAGTTATCGCTACTGAGAATTTAACAAAAAAAAACATGACGTAGATAGGTTTGCAGTTTTCAAGGTGTATATTTCAAATTGCATTTATTGCACACATGCAAATAAAGTTGTGAACACCGGCTGAATATCTATTATCAGAATCATAACTGTATTTTAACTGCTACTGTGTAAAGGGAATACTGCTGTTAAAAAGCACCTTATTTGTTTAAAGTGTTTACAAACCAAATGTTATTGCACTTTTGTTCATATAGCAGTACTTTTAAAACAAAAGTGCGCAATACACTACTTTTGAATTCATTATTGAACTTTGCACATAACAATGCGATTAATCGCGGAAAAATCATGCGATTAATTGCGATTAAAAATTGTAATCGTTGCCCAGCACTAATATATATATATATATATATATATATAATATACACAGTATACATGTACACATCACATTGAATCTGCGTGATTATCTACGTGACCTGATGCTCGGTCCTGAAGCTCCTGTTTGAGGTGTTCCTGGACCACTGTGACCTGAGAGTCCCATTAGAGTTTATCTAAAAGTTATGACTTTGCTGCTTTGTTGATTATGTATACCCAATTTATACACATCATTTTAAAGAAGGTTTTGGTCATTTTTAAATGTATAAAGGGTCCTGTGGTGTTCGGGAAATATAACATGTTCCTTCAAAAAGGCTTTATGTAATTACACAGTTAAAACAGGTGATATGGAAAACATAATTGATTTCATGCATGTAGGAGGGTAAAAAAACCTGATCCATTTACATTTTACATTTTACTTTTAAAGTGTATTCCAATACAATTACAAATTACCTGTTGAAAATGTAATCAGTAACCTGATCCAAGTATCACAATATACAAGTAATGTATGATTATCTCTGTAATTTTTAGATTATTTCAATACTAATGATGTAAATAAAGAGAAAGGAAAAAATCATGCTGAAATTTCATGATTGTGTTAGTAAAGCAGGAAAAGATAAACAACAACACAGTACAGTGCAAGTCCTGCCTTCCAGCTGGAAAATGTTGTTATCATTCAAGTTCTCAAATTATTTGGCCCACTAGTGTTGCTGGATGTTAACAGCAGCAGTACCCATAGACACTAAATGAGGCATATTTGTAGCGCTGTACAAAATGTCTTTTTTCCATTAAAGCCTCGAATGAGGTTTTTCAAAAGAAGCTTTGAATATCTGTCTATGATGTCATCACCCTGAAAAATTGGCAAGATATGTTATATGCAAGATGTAATATGCAAGATAAGACTTTTGACCTTTGAACTCTTGGTAGAATAGTTAATCATGACTCAGAAAAAGGTCTGGTCTTAATATCACATGTTTATTACAGCATATGAACACTTACAGCTCATGCGTGACTTAGCCTGATAGCAATAGTCTCTAGCTCTACTTACATGATTACAATTAGCTTCATTATCATTCATGATGATAATTAAAAAAGGTAAATGTAGATTATAGTTCTGTAGATGAAATCATTTTTGTTTCATATATTCCTGTACTCTGTCGTTTAACTGCCTGAGATATCAAGATATTGTACAGTTTAAAGCTTTTTGGAGTACTTTAAGGAAGTCAGGCAAAAACTCATTACTCTCCTCAGCTTCCCTTCTGGCCTCTTTTTCATGCGTTGTCTGCAACTTTTCTCTTTCTTCTCTCAGTTCTCTGTCATACTGTTCCTTCATTTTATTCTGCATGTTCACCATATTCTTTTCTTGCTCCTCTCTGTCTCTCTGTCTCTCTGCTTCTCTTTCTTTCCTCTCCCTCTCTCTGTCCTCACCCAACTTCTCCATCGTCTTCTTCATTTCCTCCTCTATCTCTTTCCTCTCCATCTCTCTCTCAGCCTTGAGTTGGTCATGCATTTTCTTCATCTCTTTTTCATATTTTTCCTGTAGTTTCCTCTCCAGTTTCTCTTGTTCTTTCCGAATTTGCTCTTCTTTCTCTTTCAGGATGCGTTGTTGCTCCTCTTCGATTTTCCTCTCTGCCTCTTGGAACATCTCGTTGGTGTAGTGGCTTCCTCCGTTCTTCTGGGCTACAATTCCGATCTTCTGGAGCAGCTCAGTGACCTGAGAGCGATCCTTCAGCTTATTATTGAAGACATGGTACTGGCCATTACATCTGTCCACTAGTTCCTGCAGGTCCGGGCAACCCTCCAAGAACTCCTCAATAGATGTGTCTTCAAGAAGGTCACCATGAGTAAAGAGCACCATGCTGTATTTGTCTGCAGCCTGGCCAAAGAGTTCTTGGATTCTCTGCACCGTCTGCTTTTCCTCTTCAGTGTATCTGCCCAGCTTGATGATCACCAGGAACACATGGGGTCCAGGAGAAGCATAAGAGATGCACTGGCTGAGATCTTTAGATGTTTTCTCCATTTTAAACCTGGTGTCAAAGAGGCCTGGGGTGTCGATAACAGCAACATGTTGCCCATCCACCACAGCGTTGCCCTTGGAACAGTATACAGTCATAGACTGTCCACTGAACTTTGAGTCAAAGCACTTTCGTCCCAGAATGGTGTTTCCACTGGCACTCTTCCCCAATCCAGTCTTCCCCACCATCACTATCCTCAGCTCTTCATCATTTTTTCTGCTGCTTCCTGTGTAGAAGAATGAGTGACACTGAATAAGACTCTACATCAGGTTGTACACACATTGTACTCAATGCAACTTGTACAGATATAGGAGAAAAGAAGCATCCATTCTGCTGCTTTGACAGAGCCAATAAAGGAGTTTGTTGGAGGTTCCAATTTACAACATTTTTTAAAACTGTCTGTCAGTCACATCACTTAATAAATCAAAGGAAACTCTCAACTGAACCTCCCTTCAAAAGACAATTCAACCTCCCTAAAAACAATACAATGACAAAAACAGAACAAATTAACTTTTGACTCTCATTCTTAAGAACAAAAACTGCATTCATCTGACTCAACTATGGATAATTATTATTTTTTTAATTTTCTAGTGATGAAGAAATTGTGATTTTAAGTATTCCAGAATTTACATCAGGTTACATTCATGGTACTAAAGTCAAACTAAATGTATTTACAGTTCTACCCAGTAAGTCTAATACAGTATTAGTTTATAGGAGGTACAGAGGAACATTTCATGAAATTTAATTCAGCGGTGAGCACTGCTATATCAACATACAATGATTTACTTTAAAACATAGATACAGTTTCCGACTTACCTAGGTTTCTGTCCATGTTTGGGTTAAAGAGTGGAGTAGATGCTGCAGCTGAAGTTCAGACAGTTCAGAGTGCGTCTCCTGCAGCTCTGTTACAACGGCCCTATATGTACTTAACAACACCCACAAATAGAAAGGGAAACCAAAGCTATTTATGGAGGTATCAGTTATGGAAGGATATTTTAATAGATGGGTCAAAGGTGAGTATACATTATATGCTAACTACAATATAGTCTTTAATCATTTTGGAGTATACGTAGTCTTGTCTTAACAAAGAAAGCAAGAGACATTAGTTATTCTAGATGAATTAATCAAGATAGTATTACTATAAGCTTAAACAATCTCACAAGCTGTGTCACATAACACATTCAGTTATTACCAGAGCTTTAGTTTAGTATACATTTTTAAGAGTACTTTCAAATGTTTAAACCTTGATCCCTTTCCAAAACACATCCATGACCTCATGTTGAAAATATTGAGAAAAAAGACAATAATTGAACTATGCATACAGTAATGATAATGACTTAGTATATCCCAGATAAATATGGAACTTGTGCGGAGAAAGGTTTTTCTCGATGACCAAATGCTGGCTTATTTGTCACAGCGTTTTATAACTTAACTTTCCTTTGCAAGTTCCCACTGTTGTTTGACTTCTGTTTGAATTCAGCCTTTCAAAAGTCTGACAGTTTGTTCCCTGTTTACCTGACTTCTGTATCAGGCCCTGCTGTACTTTCAGGAAAGTCCCTGCATTACCACATCCCTGAGCATTTACAAGAAATGGCAGCACTTCTTTAAAGCAGCACAAAGCTCCCCCTCCCCTTCAGTAGTAACAGGAAAAGGCAGCAGTTCTATTAATAGTGCAGGGCTGCAAGACATTGCGAGCCAAGTTTATTTGAATATGACATACTCAAATACAATTCAAAGTGCCTTTCAAAATGTATTAACCAGAAAGTGCAACAATAGAAATGAAAATAAATTACTGTTAAAATTTGGAAAAAGAGAGACTTACAAGACTAACTCTTTAGGTTCTTTAGTGCTTGAATACTTAAGGTTTAGTCGATTCAACATATTCACACAGTGGACATATGGCTCTGACATCGTGCTCAGGGTGGGAAGGAATCTCCCTGAAACTAGTCAAACTGCTGTATAACTATGGTGAAGTGGAGCAAACAACTGTTGAGATAATGTGCATATAATACTTTGTCAAACTATTCCTTGTTGTTTGACCTCCGAACCATCTGTGGGAAAAGAGCTCTATCCATTCAGCTGAATTATTATTAATGTGTGTTCAATAAATATATTTTTGATATTTTAAGAGTTTCCACCACAAATGGTGACGAGGATGGGATCGGACGAGTAGTCTGGACTCCGTTAGACGACAGAAGCGTGCAAACAATAGTTGATTTCTATTTCCTGGAACTGGAAAAAAAATCCCACCCAGTGAGAAATTATTTTGTGATGGAACAGACACTTTGAAGTGGTAAACCAGTATTATCGCACATTAGGGTGCTGGACAGTAGAGTCCTGGTTAACTTGTAGTTTTTAGAGAAGATTTGGTGTATCCTTTCAAGTCTTGATTGAACCAGATTGTTTTGAAGATACCATAAACAACTAACTACTCGAGAAAATGGGTAAAAGTCAAAGTAAGTCTGAGCCTAAGCAGCCTGATGCCATGGTCTTACCTCCAATAATAAAATAAATGTGGGACGAAGATAATCAGACTGCCAAACAATTGGAAGAATGGATGAAATTGGGGTTCCCTGAAAAAGGCATTTTTAGCCTAAGACAAAAAATTGGAGTAACTCAAAACGTGTTTGGAGCAAAGAGAGAAAGGCGCAGCCGAAAAATGTCCAAGAGAGAAAGAAAGAAAGAAATGTAAAATGTTTAAAGTAGACTAGAAAGCATATAGTATATGGACAGAGATAGCACAATTAAGAAAAAGAAAGAGATTAGGAAATGAATGTCAGAAAGACACAAGAAAGAAACAGGGAACAATAAGACAGATAAAATTGTTTTGTTTTGTATTTGTTTTATCCGAGGTAGGCCTACATGCTTGAATTAAGTTTAAATGAAAGTGTTTAAGTGATCATCTTTGAAGATTCATGTGTTTTCAGTGGACTCATTTTCCCCCTCGATGTTGACAGACAAATAAATCAGTCAGTAACAAGAACTAAGGAGTCGTGTATTTCCTGGAGGGAGTGATAGGAGCATTACTACTGTCTTAATTTGTCTATCGTGACCTTTTCATGACCTTTTCATTAATATTGTTCCCTCTGATGTGAATATTTGAATGGCCCGTGCTCTTTACTGTGTGGTGGAATGCATGTTTTGCTGGATTGATTTTGACTATATGCATTGTCCGTTAATGATGCAGCATCTCTCTATGCGCGTATTCATGTATCTGCACTCTGCAGTTAGTGTATTTGTAGGTGTTGAGCTTCATTTTTACACAAAACAAATAATAACCCGTAGCTGTGGCGTGATAATGAGGTTATTAGGAGGTGGTTCAACTGTAGTAGGACACCACTGAAGGCCCAGGTATAAAACACACGGCCCACCAGTGCTATACAACCACCTGTAAGAATGTAAGAATCTCTCTTCTGGTGGGCATACCATTTTAAAGTAACTTCTAAATTAGGCCAACTCTGAATAATTCAAATTAATCTTCTTAATCAAATATTATCTTGAAACGCCTCCTAAATTTAAAGACGAGATTTAAGGGGATTTCATGAGCTATTGCCAATGACTGGTGACCCAATTCAGTTCTCTTTTAAAATCCACTTACTAGACCTACAGCAGATGCTAATTTCCTTTTTTTTAATTTTATGTCAATCTTGACATGTTCTTCTGTAATTGTGTCCTAATTAGTTCACAATGACACATACATGTTTACTTAACTCCTAATCAGGAGACATTGAAAAATTGTACATTAACTCCTTCTGGCAGTACTTTTTTGTTTGTTTTAACATACCCATAACATTGGCAGTTACCATTATGGTTGCTGTTGTATCATCTATGTTGTTGTGGTTAAATTGAATGAAGTTGCATTTGTAGATTAACAGTGATGATGTATGACCAAGGTGTGTTGAGTGCCTCTATTTACCATGGACACACTGATTTGTGGTGGAGTCAATGCCACCAGCAGCAGCTCATTGAATAGGACATAAAACTGCTAGTCAGGGCTGCTGAGTGAAACCTATCAAGGCCACAGTGCCATCAGCGCTCCTCATGGGATGGGGCCATTTGTTTCAGCAAATGAAAGTAATTCAACACGCTGTCGGGCTACATGAACACGACATCACATAATTGATGTAGTTGAAAAAGACCTTTATTCAGTGCCTGGGCGAAACAGTACAGCACAAATAGTTGTAAAAATGGATATCCACAGGTTCAGTCAAGATATTCAAGATATCGGTAGCATTAAGGCCGGGTTAGTCTCTGAAATTCATACAAGGCTACTGCAAGAGCTTCTCTCCCCTTAACATACTGTTTTATCCGGCCCTAACGCACGTGACAGCAATCCCTCCAACAAAGATTAGCAGCAAACTAATCATTTCCAGCTTACTCACTGATCGGTTTTCATGAAGTGGTAAAGGGAAAAATAATCATTTTAGATTCATAAGGCTCAATTTTAGCTGGGATGAATCTTGCCCTGTGGATGCGGGATTATTTATTACAGTGGTGTCTGTGTCCAACAAGGTCATTTAAATTTAGCAAAAGTAAAAGCATCTGAATGCAGTTGAGCAAATGCTGCTGTAACATTTAAATATTTGTAGAATAATGCTTATAGCTTATTGTGTAAAGCAGTCCTGGTTGTGTAAAAAGGCACAGTTTCTGATCAGAAGCTTTTTTGAAAAGAATGAAATGTTCCAAGTTGTGTAGAATATAAATGAGGGTATTAAGCATTTTTTTTATTTTTCCAAATCATTTTTTACCTTACATAACTTCATTTAAAAATAAATATCTATTAACTTCTTTAAAATAGTCTTTAAACGTTTGCTGTTTCCCCGTCATTACCCACAATTTTAAAATGAAATTGGAAAAAAAAGTGGAAATGATCAATACTTAATATAAAATTAAAAAATAACAGGATGGATATAGCATTTTTATAAACAGTTCAAAAGGTAAAACAATGATAACGTCAACAACAACAAAAAAAAAATCACAAACAACAAACATGTAATATACAGAATAAAAACAAAAAATGGATACAATTTGAGAACACATTTTCTCCGCTCTCATTCCGCACCTAGGAGAAAATATGTGTCAATGCCGCCGAGAAAAAGGACCAGCACCCCTCTGTTCGACCCATCTCTTTGGCGTTTATGGAGGGCAGGAGCAGACAATGCAAAGGGTCTCTGCCAGGCAAAGAGCCACAGGGCCAGTTCAATGGACGCCGCATGGTCACCAGGCGTGTTCTCAGGAAATTAAAACGGTGTTTAACCAGGGCCCAGAACAAAAAAAAAAAATGAAAAAAATATATAGGAGGATGGACGGGATTTATTTTTTGGAGTGTGATGTGAAGGCGTTCTCGATGCAGAGGACGACGTAGGAGCCGGAGCAGCTGCTGGAGGTTTGCTGCAGGAGCTGGCCGCTCTGTAGAGATGATGCCAGACCAGTCACAGCGTGGTCGCCCGCCCGCCATGTTTCGCAGTAGTGGTCTGTTTGCCGGTGGCCTTTGTTGCTTGATCCATGCCAGACCATTTTCTCCGGCCTGGAGGAAAGCAAAAACAAGCACATGTGTCAGAATATATATATATATATATAAATGCTGCTACTACTACACTAACAGCGACATGTAAGTGCATGGGATGCTGTATTAAAATGGACGACAACTGAACAATTGACATTAACAAAGACTCACCATGCGCTGTCTCTGACGATGTCTCTACCGTCGAAGGAGTAAATTGGTACATTCTCCCTCATTTTGCTCACGTCATCCCCAAAGAGAGACTCCCAACTGCTGAACAACACTTGGTCCTGTAAGGAGAATATAATGCCTTATATTTCATTTCTCCTACTCTTCATATAGCAGCAAGATAAATTTAAAAAAACGTAGTTCAGACAACAGTTAAAACACAGTCGAAGACCACAATACAGAATCCTATTTCCTTTCAAGAAACTTTTAAATATAAGGTGTCAGAGCTACAGTTGGACTGTAGACTCAAAATCTCTCTATATCCGAGAGGGTCAGCCTATGCAGACACCCAGTGTAGTGTAAACAGGAGCCCTTTAGCAATGCTGCCACTTCCCCATCAGTAGTAGCTGACCTTGAGGTTCACGATGGGGGTGCTGTCCCTGTCCGACCTGCGGACGATGGTGTAGAGGTCTTGAAGCTTGGAGGACAGGAAAGCTCTGAAGGTCCCCTGCAGGCCCACAGCGCGGGCCTGCTGGAAGCACAGGAAGTCTGCCCCGCGGATTCCTCGCATGTTACCAGTTTGAGGGGCGTTCAAGGCGATGATATGTAGCTGGTGAGGAAGACACGGGTTTCTGTTAAAAATAATTGCCTCTGTAGGACCAGCTCTTGCTGCACATCGGTTTAGGATACTTTTTTTGATATACCTCGTTTAGCACATTGTTAAAAACACTTTTTCAGATACAATATTGCATATTTAATTGATTTGCCATTGTGAAAAGCTAGAGCACTTAAAAGGCTAGGCCACTGTATCAGCCAATATTAGCTCATTGCAGATGTATATATGTCCGCTGATAAGTAATTAATAATTTGAGGTTATTTAGAAGAGACACTGTCTCCATCATTTTGTCCAACAGTGAGCACTGTGTGTGTGGCTCACTTATGATCACAGTAAAAAGAAAAGAAAAGAAGACTGTCACATAGTATATTACTGCTGGATATTAGATCCTCTCAAATATTGATATCAGCCTCAAAAGTCCATTATCACTTATCAGTGAATAACTATGTCAAGATTCCAGAAATTAAGTCAATACCAGTGAAGACCAGAAAAATACCACAAAGTACAAAGCAATAAACCCCACGTACATCAACATGCACTCTTTTATCACCATTTGCATACTGTTTTTTGCAAATGCATTATGTTGTTAAATAAAATATTGTATTATATTATATCCAACCAGCATACTACATTATTAGAGTCCTAGTCCTAATCTGAAAATAGGACAAAAGAAGCACTAATTGGATGTGACGGGAGAGAAAAACAAAGCAGGTGCTTCTTATACAAAGGTCAATAATGACAACACAAGAGGGAAGAGATATGCTGCTGCGCTGTCCTTTCTGTGGATAGCAACAGAGGGAATACAATCCCCAATCAGTTTCTTCCCTTTCTTTTTTAACCTCCACGTCAAATATATACAAACACACCGAATTTTCATAATTATCACTGCCTTTAAGTGCGCTGCAATACGATACCCTCCATAACTAACTAACATTGTTGACATTTACGAGCTCTACTCACTCCTGATGCTGATGGCTCCACATGGCCGGCAGGCTGCGCTACAGGCGGGCTGGGTCGTCGCTGCGGAGTTACAGGGTATCTGTTCTCAGTCTGTTGTGTGGCTAATCTCCCATCTGTCTGGCCTGTGTGTCTCGGGTCTGGGAATCTGGGATCATACTGTGCGGGGTATCTGGGGTCTACAGGTCGTAGTGGTGGAGGCTCAATGGGTCGTATGGCTGAACCACCCTGGGAGTAATGGCCAGCTCCGTTGTTGTGGGACTGGTCCTGCGACTGGGGGTACTGGATCACAGGTGGAGGCTGGACTTCTGCCACCTCGTTCTCCTTTAAATGGAAGTTAGAGAGATTTAAGAGAAAAATCAAAAACAATCAGTGGATGAAAAAGGCAAAATATGTCTTCTATCTCTGTATTCTATTATTCTTCTGTGGAACGTACCAGATCTCTGAAGAAGGGACTGTAGTTTCCGAGCTGAGAGGAGAGGAAAAATAGCCTTTTAGTGAATACTGATATCTCACCTCATAATTAATGAATGGCCTGATCTGAACTGAATTACATAATAATGTAGACAGGGTATAGTGTCACTGTATTAACTCAGAATATTTTTTTTTTTTTTACATAAACACATAACTTAAAAAAACTTTTCATATAAGTAAAGGTATTTTACAGTTGAATAATAAAATTGTGAAACAGGTTGTGAAAGACAGGGATATGACAGTGACAGTGGCTGTGCCAACTTCTTTAGATTTTGTTATGCACCCTAGTGGCCAAAAACTGACCACAGCAGCTTTAAAGTCTAATAGTATTGAAACTCTGCAGTTTAAATGCCTCTCAAAGCATTGTACCATACCATGACTTGCCGCAGTCCATCGCGCACTCTCAAATAGAGGTCAGCTTTGTCAATGATGTAGATGAGGCTTCCCTCCGTCTGACGTCTCGCAGTAGCTATCATTGTGTCGTATGACCTTAAAACAGTAAGCTGTGGAAAACAAATATACATGGTGTTTAGCTTTTGATGAACATGAATGAAATAACTAATATATGCCAATTGCCCCTCAAATGAAAAATGATGATCAGGCAATTTTAGACACAATATGATCAATGGGCAATAACTGCTGCAGTATGCAGACTGATAATTACGAATAACTTAACTTATTATCAATGCCAGCCTAACAATCACATAATATATTCTATGATATTAAAGTGCAGTGATTGTACTTACCCCAGAAGAGTGACCAGGACTTCCAGGCGGACCAGCAGGACCAGGAGGTCCAGGAACATTGAGGGCTTCAAATGTAAACAAAAGCTTGTTAATGATTTAGCTTCTGAACAGCTCAAGTGGAGTTTGCCTCCAGTAGCCAACGAGCTGAGTGCAGACAGTAGCTTAAGGGTCACCTCCACACTAGATGTAGCAGTGTTCGGTTTAGAATGATCCAGAATATTGAAAAAGTCGCTTACAGTGATTGGGCATATATGCTCCGGGAAGCGAGGAAGATCCTTGGGGTCCTGGTGGTCCAGGTGCTCCTGGAGGACCTGGACGCCCATCGTAACCAATCCCTGGTGTCCCTGGTGGACCCTGGGGTCCAGGAGGGCCCAATACAGGTTCTCCCTTTGGACCCTAACATGAAAAAGAAAAAATTGAAATGACACGAATGCGTTTTAAAATGTTCATCATCTAGGTCATGACAAACAGTTGTGTTTATCAACGGGTGATGTGCTTACCGTACAGGTAAAACCACAAACCTTCTAACAAAATAAGATCTTGGTCGTTAACACCTGTAAATATACTAGGACAGACTCTTAGAACTCACCTGTAGGCCTGGTTTGCCAGGAGGCCCTGGTGGGCCTTGTACTCCTCCAAAACGTTGGTCATAATATCCGCCACTGGGCTCTCCCTTTTCTCCCTTCACACCGAGGTCTCCGCGCTCTCCCTTCAGTTCATTCTGTTGGAAACAGTTTAACATTATGAAGTACTGTACATCCAGCACACTCAGGAAAGTGATTGGTGTGGTAGCGACAAGCTAGTTTACCTTGAATGTGTAAATATCGAAATTAGAGGCGGCCCCTGTAAAAAAAAAGTGTTTTAGTAACTAAGTACTAATAATTCAGTTCTACACACTCCTGCCGTGCAGTGGATATGTATGTCATGATGGTACATTATGTGTATTTTTTACGCAAACTTTGGATTTACCTGGGATTCCTGGAAGGCCTCGGTCCCCATGCTCTCCTTTTTCCCCTTTAGTTGCTACAACAAAATATAATTTTTAACATTGGTGAGTTAGAACCAATATCCCACAGGTGTATCTAATATGCAAAATTGTGGCATTGATAGTGACGTCTTCTGCGTTTTATCAATTCATTCTTCAAATCTACTCAGACTTGACAGCCTAATCTTTTGACAATAGAGTGTATATCCCCTTCGGGCTGAGGCAGCTTCATCAAACTGAAATTAAGATAGAACTGGTTATCTCTGCAGGCACTTAAAGCCCTTTCTAAATCTCTCTTCCTTGACTGGCACTCTTTACTTCTTCATTCTGATCCCTCTCTATCTTACAGTATTATGTATCGGTGCGACGTGTGAGAGAGGTCATACCTGGGTAATTCCTTGAAGGTTCATCATAGCGCTGCGAACGGGGGGGATAAAAAATGAAGACATTCCCAGCATTAATAGAGGAAAAGATTCATCTAAGGTGTATGCTAAATTATCCAATCAGTAGTTTCAGAAGACAACAAGGCAAACGGAACAAAAGCACCAGATAATGATTGACTGCTTAACCATATGATACTATATCCGACCACATGAGAGACATTAACGTTGTGCTAAATAGTACATGCACATGTCCAAAGTTTATTTCATGGTACAAGGTTTTGGAACTTGTGTACTCACGTTGAAGCGATCTAAGGGAATGGCTGGTCCAGGGGGTCCAGGTGGTCCTGGTTGGCCAGGGACTCCCTGATGAAAACAGTTATTCACTCTATCTTACTGTTTGGTGAGTCTAACAAATAATTTTGTCGACTAATTGATGACTTGATTTAATCAGCAGACTCCGCAAAAGCAACACTTTAAGACTTGTGTTTACCAGACATGTGTTCATACATTTCTTGGATATAAGTCATTCAGCATGAAAAAAAAGCATAAAAAACAACTAATCGACTAAATAAATCTCCAAAATGCCCGATTCTTCCACTTATCAACTAAGAGGGGGCAGCTCTACAACAGATCATTGGTTTTGTGGTCAGTTTTTATTTTCAAAGGTGGCGTATCGTAGGCTACCCCGAGTAGCATAGCCTACAAATTGTAGTTTTCGTGTCAACAATGCGTTTGTTGTTTATGTAACTCACAGGGAAGGCAAAATGTTGCCACATTGGTGACTTCAGGGAAGCAGGAGGACTTTCCAGTTCTGATGTTTCTCCGTGATTTCAGAGGTTGAAATCAAAAGCTAATTTCTATCGGCTTAGAAACAACATTGTGACACCCCTACTAGCTAGTGCAAGCTAGCTAATTGGCTACTTGACAAGAGGTTGAAAAGAGGTCCCAATGAACGTTTATTAATCAAGCTAAGTAAAAAGCTAGCTAGCCAGTCAGTTTTTGATGCTCAATGCAAGACTCTCTTCTTTTTCACTGAGTATGTGTAGTTCCTGGCATGTGCCACCTGATGAAACGCAGACACGTCCCATTCAGTGTCTTTTGTGACAACCAGGCATGGCTAAAGTAAACAAGATGGTGTCAAACTATCTGTATTAACTTCTGCCACTGTCAAAAACGATCTTTCTAAGGTATTGGTAATAATAATAACACTTACTGGGTAGCCATAGCCAGCTTCTGTCTCTCCTTTCTCCCCCTTGTAACCATTTACACCAGGGCGACCCTGAGGGGAGAAAGTCATCAATTAATATTTCCCTGCACTTGGAAACAGGTGACAATGGTATTCAAATGTAACTGGAGCAATATGCAATAGGTCAGTAAAATGACTATGTGGTACTTAGTACAACCACATAATAGTAAAGCAACATCCAACCTAGGAAGGGCTACTTACAGGTCTTCCAGGCATTCCGATTTCACCCTTTATTCCAGAAGGCCCATACTGGCCCTATGCAATAAATCATGAAATGAAACACATTGTGAGCTGACAGGAGAATGAAGTGGGGAAAAAAATAAATTTTTGGTTTGAAACTGTTCAGTTACATCAGTGTAGATATATTAGATAAAGATGCTAAAACCCTTACAGTGGGTCCAACAGGTCCAGGTGATCCTCTGTCTCCCTACACGCAGTGTAGAGGAAACAGATTAGTTACAACAACAAATGTATCACCGAAACCGAGCAAAATATTAAGAAATAAAAAGACATCATATACTTGAGAGGAGAGGCGCGTGCCTCTTTTCACGAGAGAGACAAAAAAGACGAAAGCAGTGAGACTCACCTTCGGACCCGTCAGCCCTTCCAGATGCAGAAGGTTTCCATCAGGTCCGATTACGAGGCCTGGTTCACCTTTCTCACCCTGAACACGACACAGCACAGACGAGGCAACACACACTCAATTACAGCAGTGTCTCAATGACGACGAGTGGCTAAATGAATAGTGGAACGAACAAATAACCAAGACTTTACCTTGACCCCGTAGCTTGGAAGGCCAGGGTCTCCTCTGTCCCCCTTTGGTCCAATAGGACCCTGCAGGATAAAGACAGTACGGTTTATCAGCTTTCTTTGGCAGCCGGAAAGTCTTCCCCCAGATCAATTCAAGCCATTCCATTACGCTTCGTCTACACAGTTCTGCTTGTATTGCTGAGTTAACCACTGTTTACACATTCAGTGTAGAATTAATTGCTGTGGGCTTCTGGGAGTAGATGCAGTGCCAATATGTTGTCTGCTAACTGTAGCGCAGAGAAGCATTTGATGCTTGCTCACTTTACTGTAAAAATTGTTCGGAGGCATTATGGGAATTTGAAAGAAATGGAGGTATAATTGATTAAAGACACATTCCATAATCCAAATGTGAGGATCACCACCCACACCATAATTCAGCATGCAGAATTGGAACCTGTAATTAGATCCTCTCCAACAATAAATTGATCCTACAAGTCGGTATTGTCTGAGTAGCCAAAACCTGATAGCTTGATGTATCTTATTCCTCTATAAAACTGTGTGTGAACTTATCTAAAATCAATCTACAGTGCCCAACTGTTGAAGGAAAGTACTTTAAAATTGTATCATCCTTTAAGCCCGTGGAAACATGGTTTCATATCTTAAGTATTTCTTCATAACATTAAATACTCATTACTAAATGTGTGACATTCACGGTCAAGAGTTTAACACTCTCAAATTAACTTGTAAATCGGATTAACTGCAAACAGTGAGGTGGCAACATAAGCAAACACCTCAAACAACTGTGATCACATTTTGATTCAAATGTTAAATCCTGAGTGAAGCGCTAAAATACATGACATGGCTTTTTTAAACCAAGCACCGACCACTTCAAACCAGTAAGAATAGCTCAGACAAAACAAAAAACAAAGACAATTTTCATAGGACATTTTCAAAACTTTGGCTGAAAATAGTGCATCCATGTAGGACCTGATCATTAATAGCATGAAGCTGGTTGAGAAAATAGGTTTTTAGAGCCTTTAATTTACGTTTTTAATATAATTGTAACCTGTTTTTGTAAGATTTGCATCTTTAGTAGGAGTGAATGGTCTTGAATAGGGAAGTTGGAAAGTACTGAGAGGTGGATAAAAAACATTCTTGGTTTTGGTCTTTTCATGGCATTTGTTGACAATAATAATGAAAGAAAGAAGAAAATAAAAAAGAAGAAATGTAAATTAACAACAGGTTAAAAAAAAACACAAGCGACAAAGAGACAACACCATTAATGTGAAATGTATTTACCATTAGTGTGAAGTAAATAGATTTAAAATGTATTTTTACAATAGGGGAAGGTACATTAATCATGTAACACGGGGAGACTTACAGGGAATCCAGCTTGACCAGGTAAACCAGCTCCTCCCTGTAAACATAGAAATACAACTTTATTAAACTGGTGTTCTGTGTTTTGTTAACTGACTATCATTCACCAATTTCTTTTTTCAAACTTTACAATAACTGTAACACAACATTGTACAAGTAAATCTACACACAACGTATTCTTGCCCTGATTGGTTTGATTCTAAAATGGAACCTGTTAAATTAGTGCAGCTTCCTCTCTGTGGATGAATTGTGTACAGCTGCCTGATATACAATATATTCAAATGGAAAGAGAAGTTTTGAGGTTATAGGCTGCTAGTTAGCAGTTGACTTTTTTTTTTTTTAACCACTGTTGACTGTGAATTTAGTTTGTATCAAACCAGTAGGAAAGGTGAAATGCTGCCACTTGTCCAGATTTTAAAAATTGTCCTTTCAAGATGTTTGTCTTAAATGTTTTTACAAAAACTATGTGTGTGCAGTCCCGCATTCATTGAAAGAAATACACACACATCATCAACTCCAACCTCAAAGACTATGTTGTATTAGCACCAGAGTTGTTTTGCTGTATTTCTGTATCACTATTACTGTTTGAACATGAATACAAACCTGAGGCCCGTCATAGCCAACAACACCATCAACCTGTAGTGACACATGAATGCCATCACTGCTCTTAGTTTAGAATGACAGTCTACAGTGTGCTTTTTGTTGCTTACATCTCCAGATGTTTGGTGAATGATTTGTCCTGGTGGTCCAGGTGGTCCGGGGGGCCCTTGGAGACCTGTTCCATCTCGACCCGATTCACCCTAAAACCACAACACACACACACACAGCAAAAAAGATGAGCAACTGTCCATCCAAGACAGGAAATGAATCAAATGCTGAATGTGACAAAAGCTTTAGTCTTCTAATATCTGTATAAACATAAAGAATAACAGTATCTTCAAAGAGGATACTTTTTATCTTTTTCTTTTTCAGAAGTCTTTTATGGTCTAACAGATCAAAACAACTACACAGAAACAGACAGTAGTGAGATGGAATGTGTGTTGCAGTACAAGATTGAATTAGCATCATACAGACAATTGCTTTGTAAGGAAAATAATGTATAAAAATGAACAGAGATTTTAGGGTTAAAAATGAAGATAATATTCACCCTCTCTCCTGTGTTGCCATGGTCACCCTTTGGTCCCTGTGAAATTAAAGAGGAATGAGACAAAAGATACTTTAACAAAGGTGAAAGGTGCTTCACAAAGATCCAACAACAGACAAGAGGAACAACCTTCATATTCATTGAAAACTGAAGACAATGAAAGCACTGCTTCTTTCATGTCACGTAGTAGAATTACCTGATAAACCTGCTAAATAAGACGTAAAGTCAGTTATGATTCCATTCATATGTAAAAATGAATTCCCAATACACCTGCCATGACACAGTTGCATGCCCCAGCAATGCTAGAGCGTACATGTCATTTGGGTGCTCGCACGTCCATCAACAGAGAGCAAGCTTTACCCAGCATGCCGTTTGGTGGTGTAACAGTTGATACTGGAGCATGTGACGTATGAATAAGAATATCAACTGAGCCATCTCTATGACAGCCAAACAAACATGATGATGAAGACCATAACATGCAATTGAAAGTTCATTGAAAAAGCTAGTAAATGGACCTTACTATTTCCAAGGTCAAGAATGAACTTTCATGCTAATATTGGGTATTACTTCCCAATATGATAGTACATTTTAAAGCAGTTTTTGACTGACACTGATAGGCCGCCTGAGGTATTGTGCACCCCTACTATAGCAATCTTCATAAAGCTGCTAGACTGTGTTTTACCTTCTCCTGCACTGCTGGAAACAGCAGCAGGACATGTAAAAAATGGCGATTCTCCGTCCTCAGTCCATTAATTTCTCTCTATTATATATTTTTTTTTTATATAAATTGGTTGACACAGGCTTTGTGTGAGGGGTTGGCCTTTTCTTCTGTTACTGCATCTTGTCAGCATTTGCATGACTTCAGGCTGCATACTCGGCTGTTTTTCCTCCATATTGTCTAACCCGGAATGTGCTCAATACAAAGGACTTTATCAAATTACCTATTGTGGCCACAGGGGTAAATGACACAGACATCAACATTTGAGAATGCAAAATATTTTTGCCCCATGGCTTGTTAGACTATGACAGGTCTGCTACATAACACAAAAAAAACAGATACGAAAACAATCCCAAAATAAAAACCACGAACATTTCCTTGAAAGTCAAGTATCCTCATTTTGACAGCTTGCTCCATTTATGAAATATTCTTATTTGTCATCTAGATCTATTTTACCTGAGGTCCAGGGAAGCCATCCAACCCTGGACGTCCATCTCTTCCTGTGAGACCTTCACTGCCCTTCTGACCTGGTATACCAGGCAACCCAGCTTTGCCCTGCAAAGGCACAATCAAGATACGACGGTGAAAATCACACTTCAGGGGAACACAAAAACAAAGTTACTGCCACATTACTGCCCATAATGTGAAGAGTTTGCCCGTATTTCTTAACACACTTAAAATCAACACCCAACTCTACGCTACTCAGCTACTCTCTGCTCATTGTTTAGCTTTAGGCAGATCATGTTGACACATGTTTGCTAACACACTAACTTGGGTACACTTGTGCTGTGTTGCTATGCATTCATTTAATGCTGGGGTGGCCAAACAACTGCCTGTTTTTTAATGGCTCGTGGTGAATTCTTTAAAATAAACTAGTATAGCTTGAGGATATTTTGAATAAGTTGCACAGTATGTACATTGCACATATTAATTTAAACACTATATGTCGACTCGGCTAAATTTCATGACATTTTCTCCGTCTTAACCTCTTGGCACAAACATTTCTGACTGTTGTGTTTGTTAATATTAGAATTAGAGATTCACATTTTTACACCTACATTTGTAGCATAATCTTTTCATTGAACCCTTAGGCCATTATCAGAAACCAATATAGGTATTTGGCAATTTTCTCCTGTTTTAACTTTAGTTCTTTACAGATTTACACATAGCATCATAATATTTTAAGTGGACGCATATGCCATGCACTGTATTTAAATGCAAAAGTATTGAATTTATTTGAATTAAGATCAATTGAGAGCAGCAGATTCAAAATACATGTGGGCAAACCAGTAAATAGTAGTTACTATAGTAGTAGTGTTGCGTAGTTATTTTGATAGCATGGGGTTTTCTGGAATAGAAACACAGCTTTTCTTGCAGTTTAACTGGTTGAAAACTACGCATTTACTATCGTTTGGCCCATGACCTCATATGTTTCTCTACATGGCCCACGATCAAAAAAGTTTGTTCTCCCCTGATTCAATGTATTCATTTTTTTGTTACTTTCAGTTCTGTTTGTGTGCTTGTATTGTTTCTTTTTCCCCTGCTTCTATTCTATTCTAGACAGGACAAGGACCTTCTTTCACCCTCAGAAATCAATTAAGGTGCAGCTTTTTTTTCTCAACCCCAATGGTTTGGAAAACACACGCGTGAAATGACAACGGAGGAGAGTAGCAAGGATAAGATTACCAGCAATAACCAAACCTGAATGTTATGATGCTTGAGGGTGTGCATAGGCTAGGTAGCTGTACCTCGCGCTTGTTTGCGTGTTTCCACTAATTTCATGGACTCAAAACTAGACCCCTTCTTGAGCCAATAGTTTGGCAATAGCAAGAGGACCAGCTCATCACAAATTAGAAAAATGACTTCAGTTACTTACCGGAAGTCCAGGCAAGCCAGGAGAACCCTGAAAGCACACACATTTGTCTTGGTTATTATGCAAGTTCATGTATATCTTCCTCGTGCATTTGCAACTTTCTACTATAAACAGGACCGGTTCCAGTTCAATAACCACAGACGTGTAAAGTGTAGACCTGTACAAAATGCACGGCATATTATTTTTAAAGAGACAATCAAATCATTTACAGAATGTATGGCAGCTAGGCCAAATAGGGCACAAATGGGACACAGGAGCACACTCAATGGTACTCTTGAGTATTAATCAGTCACTAAATTACCAAGTGACAACAGGACTTTAAAGCTGCTGATCAGATCCTGGTTCAGAGACTTACTCTGGCTTGTAATATGGGGACTAAAAAAAAACAATATTTAAAGAATTTCAGCACAAGGGGGAACTATTGCTAGTTTTAAACCGTGTCCGTATTGTGAAGAATGTAAGATACAGCATATCGTCTTCAATTGCAGTACTGACCTGTCTTCCCTCAGGTCCTCTGACGCCAGGCAGTCCATTGCTGAACCCTCCACCGGAGGCCTCCATGTCATCCTTCAAACATCAACAAAGATAGTATGACAGTTAGCCAAACAAAACGTTTAGTTGGATTGTTTTTTTCTATCCCGTTTAATTATTTTTAGATTGAATGCTTTCACCTCAAATGATTTACCTCACTGTTATACATATGAATGGACAACAACAATGTGTCTGAAGTACAGCTGTCTATATTATTGAGCATCATTTCATATTTCCATTTATTTTATGGAGAACTTTCCCAGACAACCAAATTACACAGATGAAATTTAGTTTTTTTTGGGGTATCTTTTACATTGATATATAGTCGACTCTACCAAAAGGTATCATCACAAAAACTAATAGAGAACTTACAAATCCAACACGATAGCTTGATCCAGGAGGCCCCGGAGGCCCTGGAGGCCCAACTGGTCCAAGAGGTCCGGGCAGACCAGCCAGTCCAGTCTCTCCTGAGGTTCCTGGTAAACCATGGTCTCCTTGAGATCCCTGTAGGGTGAAGTGACAGAATAAATAAATAAATACAAAGTGTAATAAAAGCAATTACAAATATGTCATCTTCATTGAAGTGCATCTTACGATGGCAAGGTAGTATAATTCATTGTCTCACATATCCTGCACAAAACTATTTTGTAATGTTACCATTCATGCAGCATTTCGTATAAGTAAGTGTGGTTTAATAGTACGTAGATTAATGTAACTGCACAAAAACCCATGCTCATTGATCTGGGGCCAAATTCAGACGTCACCAAATGTTAAAGCCAGCATAGCCAGCACTCAGATTAAACTTTAGGTCTAGCTGACAATATTTGACAAACATTTGCATATTGTTAGAAGACACAAATCCCCTTTGATGGCTGACGTGCTGGAGCCCAGTTACCTGCGGATGGGAAGGCTTAGGAAAGTAGGAGGAGGATAAATAGTGGGGCAGCAGATTGGTGAGAAAAGAAAAGTAGGAGCTTGGCTGGAGAAATAGAAATGGAAGGGATGAGAAAAGCTTTAGAAATAGTTGGATTGAAGTTGATATTCTAGTTAGCCAAACAGTAATGGTATTTCAAAAGCAATCCAGCAATTCATGTACCTTGTTTTCAGGATTATGTGTTCTATGATACTGGTTCCAACAACAAAGGCAACTTGCATTTAGTTGTGTTTTTGAGTGTGGATCTAATTTTGACGTGTCAGCTACTTTAAGGTAAAACTGAAAAAAAAGAAAAAGACAATGAAATCTGCACCTTCTCTCCGACTGCTCCTGGAAGACCCAGATCGCCTGAATCACCCTAGTGTAGGAAAAAGAGTAGGACAAAATGTGTTAATAAAAAACGCTCTAAACTACAATGATACTGTTGCTATTGTGTATGTTTCTGTCATTTTTCAAAAGAGGATTGAAAAGATTTGGACATATTTATGGTAACAGCATCTAATGGCAAACCCCCCCACCCACCCATGCAGCTACAACATACCACTTGGCCGCAGTTAGCCATTGCTCTGGTGTGTTTTCGGCGTACAAGCCTGAGAGCCAGTTTAGCCCTTTTTCCGCCTTCATATGTTGATACAAGCTGTTGCTTCTTTTTTTAAGCTCACATGTTGGTTATGTAAAATCAGTTCCTTTACAACATTAGAAATTGGGTTGAATTTCCACTCGGAATGCGGACGCTAGTTAGCCTAGCATGCTAATGTTAGCGCTAACTCCCACTATACATAATTTTTTCACACGTGCTGAGTCATTAGCAGATCCCGCTCTCTCCCATTATAGACGAGTCTAGCTTGCGGTAGCTGTTATTTTCTCATGGGTGCAGTCGTGGTGAAACCGCTATCGACCAGACTGTCAACAGTCACAGCAGTTTTAGCGCTCCATTCATTACCCAGTGATTCAAATTACAACACAAATCACAACACAGAATCATGTTGAAGCTGAGGTGATATTATCTTCAGTATATTATTGCCCACCCACACACCAATCACAATAATCAATATTTTCAACAAAGACCAAGGCAAAGCAAAACTGAATTTTAATTTCAGTTCAACTTAGACAGATCCAACTCATGTTTACACTATGACTGCTACTGGGACCGCCATTGACAAACTTCGAAGGCTGCTAGAAAGATACATCAGAGTTAGAGTTTACAGAAGAAACAATCAGTCTCATAAGATCATTACCGTATCTCCCTTGGGACCAGAAACCCCTGGGCGGCCATCAGTACCCGGCAAACCAGGCAAGCCCTAGAAGGATTTGGTTCAGGCATTCAGTTGTTGTTGATTGGGTTAGACTCTACAGTCATTTTATTCAGAGAGCTTAGAGAATTATTTGGCTAGTGATGCTGAGAGACAAACACATTGACACCTACAGGTTGACCGGGCACCCCGTCCTTTCCTGGTGGTCCGAATGCCCCAGCTGCTCCTGCTGTAGAGGCAGTAGCAGGACCGGGGGGACCGGGGGGACCAGGAGGACCTGGTAGGCCACGCAATCCCTAAAACAACAAAATTGATTTTCATTTACGGATGCTGGTTACAGTCTTACAGCAACAAAGATGATGTCCTCCATTACATAGCTTGTTTCGGTTGAGAGTAGTTTTTCAACTTTAAATTCTTCTTACCCGAACAGATTCCAGATCAGGGAAACCAGAGCCTTCCATGTCCACAAAAGTCTAAAAAACATGGACTGGAATCAGTTGTATTCAACAGATAAGTCACAAAGGCAGGACGCCTGCTGGTAGAAGTTGTGCCTAAACATTATGCAGCATGTGAGGCCAAGATTAACTCACAGATCTGAGTCCTGTTGCTGGGGGTCCCGGAGGTCCTGGGGATCCCCTCGGGCCAGGTTGACCCTCTCCACGGTCTCCCTGTTTGCACAAGTCTCATTATTATAATCATATTTAGAATTTAAAAAAATACAATCATAATATTTGTTATTCTGTGAATTTAAGTGGACATCTAACCTTTTCTCCTTTAGTTCCAGAGTCACCTGGGGTTCCTGGGAAGCCAGGTGGTCCATCAGCACCCTGTGTTGAGGAAACAATAATGTTAGGGCACTCATGGTGTTAATACAAGGAAAAGTGTTAAGGAGTAGGTATCTGCTAAAGGTGCTCCGATCAGGATTTTTGGGGATGATCACTGATCGCTGGATGCAGTATCGTCTGTCAACGTCATCCCATACAGAAATATATCACTTTGCATAAAGTCGCCTCATCGCAAGAATAGCTGTGCCCGATCAAAGCACGCATTCCCCCAGAGAACAAGCCGCAGCTAAGACATGTTGCCCATGATCCTCTAAGTATGGCAGTATTTAAGAGGGAAACTTAACAATGTGGTTATTCCGCCATTTTATATGTTCTGTTTACTTCAACGGCCATGTATGAGTGAGAAAATGGCTTTAACTAACGTTACAGACTGTTACTGAAAATCGTTTCAATTATTTCCCTTGTCACAACCGTTTCAAGTTTTAAGTCAAGTTGTTACAAACAAAATACAGATTCTCCATTTCGGGGAAAAGGGTTTCTATAACATACACTACAGTGATTCAATGATTCTGTATCACAGCAGTCTTTTTGAATATGAGGTTGTCACAAATTCCCCTTCATATTAGTTTGTTTTCATCCTGTCTGCTTATTTTACTAACTCTCCTGTCATTTCAGATCCTACCATTCACACCCGATCATCTCTCATTCCCCTCACCTGGTCCTCCACACCCATCTCACCTGCAGCCCATTCCCTCATTAGCCCTCACTATTTAGGTCCCCTCACTTGCACTTGTTCCCTGCCAGATTGTCTTGTGTGTCTCTGCCAAGCTCTCCAGTGTTATATATATATATATATATATATATCGTACTATTCTGATCTGCCTGTTCCGACCCTGTCTGCCTGTTTTCTCGACCTTGGATTTTTGCCTGCCCCTTGTTGGATTTGTTTGCCTTTTGGACTGACCTCCCGGTGTTGACCCTGCCTTTACCAAGTACAGAAATCTATACCTGAATCTTGTCTCTGAGTTGTGCTTTTCGGCCCACCGACACTTTTGGGTTCTAATATCTGCAATCCTTACAGAGGTCAAGACATTTTCTGATAAATGGGGTCTATTAGCTTGTTACATTTGTTTGTTTTGAGATGATTGAATAAAATATTGAAATACTAATCAGACAAGTTTTTGATATCTATTTTGGGTAAGTTAAGTGTTATATTAATCAGGTAATTCAAAAAATTATAATTAGAATATTCCATAAATTACAAAAATGAATATTATTATATTAATTGATAAAAAAAATAGTTGTCAGGTGCAGACCTAATCACAGGGTCTATTTAAATCCTTCTATTTACATAGCATTATTTATTTAACTATTATTAACAACACTGTATATTAACTGTGTTTATTGGCAGTCAACTTGTGCAAACATATTCCACTTTCTCTCTCTTAGAGACACAACTCCTAACTCCGGTGAAGACATTTTTGTGTCACAGAGAAATAATCTCGCGTGTTTTGCCTCATCTAATCCGCCTTTACAGAGACCACCAATCAAACTATTTAGAATGAAACCTTTTGACAGTTGATAAGAGTTCAAGCCATTCATCAGTGTTCATGGTTTTGTGCAGAAGGGAAAAAAGCAACTTACCGTTTTTCCATCCTCACCAGGATCCCCCTGTAAGAATGAAATAAGGAAATACACGTCAGACAAATTTCAAGATTGACAATTCCTTTTTTCAATTCCATACACGTTTTAACTTTATATTTAAACTATTAAAAGGTTTACATTTGAAACTTTTGAATCAATTTCCTTTCAAGACTCTAAAAAGCAAATGTAACAGAAAAGATGTGCTTTATAGTTGAAGAAGAACAACCGCATGCTGCGACAAACACAAGGAAATCTTGCTTCAAAGACCACAGCGCATGTGCGTGGTCCAAACGCATCTGTTGCGTTTGGATGATTTCAGGAAGAAAAATTCAACTGCAGTCTACTAACTGGCTCTCCATCAGCTCCTGGCGGTCCCTGGGGGCCCGCAGCACCTTGTGGTCCGGCCGGTCCTCGGGGTCCGGGGCCTCTGGAAGAAACTGAGCCGTCGCTACCGACTGAGAACTCGGTTGCGGGCCCTGGAGGGCCGGGGGGGCCGGGTGCCCCAGGTGGGCCGATGTCGCCCTTCTTTCCTTGGTAGCCGAAGCCTGCACTGCCCTGGAGATAAAGAAGGTGGTGACCAAAGCTTCTCCAAAGAGTACAACAACATAAGAATAATAAAGTGATCACTGATACCAGTGCTTATTAGAATACAAATAAAAGTAAGATAAATGTAGTAAAGTATAAATAAACTAAAATAGAGAAGTAATATTGCACATGATCCTTGTTCTGTTTGTACAAGACTCCTGTAACTTTGCTCCTGGGCAACTTAAATCAAAGAGCCGAAGATGACATGATCTCTGACTTACCTTGAATCCCTTTTCCCCTGGATCTCCCTGAAAATAAGAAGAAGACAACAGTGCCAAGTCAGTGTCAGCTGTTTTCATTGGCTGTCACATTCAACTTAAAACTCTAAAATGCACTGCCATACGTATCCACGGACACATCCACATGTTGGAGAACTTCACATTTAGTATATACACTTCCAGTAGGGGTGGCACCAGCGAACATTTTATTTGCGACACGTGTATTTTGTTTTGTGTATATTTGGACAAGTGCATTATGTGTATGTTGTTCTAAGACAGAAGGGAAACAAATCAATGTCAGGCCAACAGTAATGTCCTCAATTTAGAGGATCTTCTTCATTTTACAATTATTGTAAAATGAATGGCATTTGGCCGCTCATAAGACAAAATAACTATGCATAAACACACACACACATCTTGTTCTTAAAAATATAAGAAATGTAAACTACAGTATGTAATTAAATGAATAACAAGAATAAACAAAGTAACATAACAATAGCTTGACATTATATTGCAAGTGGGCCCTTATGGAACACATTGATATGATTGGATATCATTTTACTGAGCTTGGAGTATCCTGTTTCTCTCATTGTGCAACTGCAAACTGGAATAGCATGCAGAACAATCTAAAGCTTACCTCATTTCATATTTCACTTCCAGTTATAGTTGATTGATTTGCTTTAAATTTCATGTGCTTTAATTATTCTTACGGGTATTATTATTTTACTAATTTGGCTTTTTATTATGTTTTTAGCACCAATTTCATCGAAATGTTTCTCTTGTCTTTCTTGGTGCATAGTTTTTTTTGGTTTTTTTTCATCTTTATTGCAAATGACGTCTCTATCTCAGTGTATTTTTGAGTTCAAATAAAGGTTGAATGAATTTGCATGCATAAATGTAAGACTTGCAGCTCCCTCTAGTGTTCCTGTGGGACATATAACCAAAGGCCATATCACTGACGTTATTACCCTCTGCTCTTGTCCAGCTCACTCACTGGCCACTGCAACCTTCACAAGGACAAACCCTGGTGTCATCAGTGCATCCCACTCCTCCTCACATGACAAAGATGACTTGTCTCATACGAGTATTCCATCCACAATCAAAGCAGATTACACAAAAAAGGTCCAAACCTTCTCTCCACGGGCTCCACCTCGAGAGCCGGATCCAGAGCCAGCGTCTCCCTTCGGCCCAATTGGACCCCTGTCTCCTTTCAGTCCTGTGTCCCCCCGGTCACCCTTTTCTCCTGTACCCCCAGCTGGACCTGTGAACAGCGACAAAAAGGACAGAGTCATTAATGCCCTCGTGAAAAGACCTTTCAAAATTGATGAATGACTGTATCCCACATCCCAAACAATACAAAGCCAAAAGCAGTGGAGAAAAAAAGGGAAAAGAAAATGACTTTTTGCTTGTTGGAGCGAGAATCCCAGTGTGTGTGTGTGTGGCTGTGATTTAAAGGCCATGTGAAGGTTTTGAGGTTGTAACACCTTCCCAGCGCTGCACACACGAGCATCCTGATATTTATACTCTGGTGTGAGCTCAATTGACCCTAAACCCTTCTCACAGAATGTGTCGCTTTCAGTGCAGCACGTATGAAATGCAAACCGCTTCCTGAGCTGTGAAGAAGTGGCGCATCTCTGAAGCCGCTGACATGCACAGCAACATGATGTCCGCTTCAAGTGTTCCAGTTCAGGGATTAGAGTTTAGCAATAGAAAGCAGGACCCCATGCCCTCTGAACGGATACATAAGCATGGCATATTCACAGAAAAACACTAATACCTCATATCAAAGCATTAGGAGCTTAAGGTAATATGCAATATTTCTCTCTCTCTCTCTCTCTCTCTCTCTCTCTCTCTCTCTCTCTGAAAGATAACAGCCTGAACGGCCCAATTATTTATTCCCCCTGGCTTACATACGAACGTGTCCGCCACCCTGCGTGCATTCAAAAGCATAACATAGAGAGGTTCATGCATGCTCGTGTGCTTTTTAAAATCCATGTGACGTCCTGCACGAGGAGTACACATGAGGTAGGCAGAGCATCAGGCCAGAGAATATTAAAAAAAAAAAAAAAAAGGAAGTAAAACACGGGAGACTTGGATGCTTGTCTCTGTGTTTTAAACTCCCCTCGACCCACCTGGTGACCCAGGAAGCTCCCGCCCGGGCTCCACAGAAAGTGAAACGTACTCGGAGTCACTTGCTGAACACAACCCAAGAGACAGTGTTAAATTCACTTTCTGGAGCAACATTATTTCAAGTCAGTTACAGTACACGGGGGCCCCAGGAAGTGAGGTTTGCTATTTTGTTATTTTGTCCATTCAGTCACGATAAGGTTTTTTTCTTGTTTGAATCTGTTTGACTTGACTCTTAAGCATTTAAAAAAAGAAATTGTATTTTATGTCGTAAAAGAAACACAGGACGGTAATCATTCCAAGTCAAATTTTACACTGTGAAATGGACCAGATCCTGGTTACTCAGATGAGCACACAAGATGCTGTGCCTGTGACATAATATTGACATACTGTACTTCTTAAGATAGTTCATCACAGCCCCTTTTCTAATGTTCACAGTTTCTAGTTGAATTTTCATCGTGTAAGTGTCTCTGAGACAAAACAACTCGCTTTGTCTCTGTCACGAGCTGACATTGGCATCCCACCACGACTACTGAGTTCCGTAGAGTGCTTCATCAAAGACCTACATTGTATTTAGCAGTAGTGTTGACGCTAAACCTAAGTTTCTCTGTGCTCCAAGTTATGTATTTTAATGTAATTCACACAGAAAGCAGCACAACACGTCAGCGATCATCACAGATGAGAGCCTTCCAACCTCTGTTGCATTAATCCTTATGTCCACTAGATGGAGACATGTGTCAGTGCGTACCTTTGTAGCAAGCTCTGACTAGCTCAGTTATACATTTTGAAGGAATATGAACTCTGCCACACCATGTGCCATCATGAACATTCCCCCTCCATACCCAACAGGTATGTGGAAGTAAAATCCCTATTTTTCATATATCAAATTATAAATGTATGAAAGACAGTGATACAGCGAGGGGCAGATCCAAAGGCATCTGTAAAAAAACATAGTCTGAAGACGGCTGACAGAAGGAAAGTACACTAAACTTAGATTTTTGTCCGGTATAGAAATTAGACAGAGAAATGAAATTCCATCTCATGTTAGAGCTGATTTCTCTCTGCTAGCAGAACGTAGAACTGTGAGTGGTCCTTGACTTAAACTCACCTGTTTCTCTTGCAATTGACAGTTCCTCTTTCCTGGTCAGTGGTGGCTGCTGAATGGGCCGGGAAGATGGAGGAGCAGTCTGCAGGTGAATGATCATGCAACAGGGAGAGAAACATATTATTTTTCAAAGTGCAACGGATTACATTTACTGGAAGCTGAACTCTAGATTGTATACCCCTGCAAACAATGCAACAGCCATGTACCTGCATGGGAACAAAGTAGGCATTGTGTTCCCATAATGTTTATAGTTTGTGCAGCCAAAGCTCTCTTCCTAACGAACGAGGCCGTTTCCCAGCTCTACAGGAAGCCTTTTAAAACAGGGTAAACATGATTGAGTCAACATGAGGAGCAAAACTTGTTCTTTCGTATTTTGGCAAATCGGTATTGTTTTTCGGTAATTGCAGTTTATGCGTTACCGCCGTCAGACATCTTGTAAAACTCTTCTGTATGTGAACAATATTAAAGCTTTCAGGGAACACAGCTGGCGGTCTATCGCGCTGATTAAAATATCATCACCCAGATTTATAGTGACACCCAGAGTACGATGATTGAGTTTGTTTACGGCAACCTTCATTAGTATTCATGAGTGTGTGTGTATGTGTTTGGTCAACTCATTGCTGCAACTCCTTGCTGCAATTTTTAACCTGCTGAGCTGTAAAACCCCCATTATCTTATATGAACTCGGGAAAAAGTTATGTGTGTTTTTGTGTGTGTACATCACTCATCACATTTCTGCCCAGCTTTTAAATTGTCCTTGACCTTTGCACTGCCTTTGTATGACCGCATTAACAAATCAGATGAATTGTTTTGTCAAAATAGCTGAATATATTTAGAAGTTATACTTTTTTTGAATGTTTTTGTGTACTCTATATTTGTGGACATAGGACAGACAGATCAGTCTGTAGTCTACCAACAGTCCTCCGTCACTAACAACACAGCAGGACTGAGAGAAGCAACGGGACTTAATGAAGGTCGGGGGAGGAGGGCTCCCAAACTGCCTTTGGCTAAAGACCAGAGAGGGGGAGTAAATAATGCAACCACCCCCCAGCCAGTAGCTCATTCTTCACCGGTGACACACCTCGATTTGTCACCTGTGGAATTCAAGAGAGGAGTGGGATGAAGAATGTAGGAGAGGGGGCAGCCGAGGGGGCAAAGCGAAGCCACTGTTGATAATTAACCAGTTTCCTTTCTGAGGAATTCTCCCCACTGTGTTGCACGGCACTGGCTATGCTAAGAATTTGCCCAGGCCGCTATTGACGGCTCTGAGTGGATACATGTATCAATGTGATAAAGAATACCCCGCTTGTTCACTCCTTTACTTATCCATCATAGCTGGGGTTGAAGGGTGGGAGGCTCCAGACTTTAGAACATAGTGTTGATGGATTTGAACCGCATGACCCCCTGAATCTAAGAGCAGGTATGCAGCTCCATCGGCAATGAAGGTATTCCACCTCTGGAACAGTGTATGTTGTTTTTTTTCTTTTCTCAGTGCATGTCCTATAAAGTATTGCAGAGAGAACTCTTGTTTGCTGTTGTTGCTCTTAGGGTGAAAGACAGACAGCCTGGCTCCCATGGTTTGCCTCTCATGTGTTTGACTCTTATTGCATTGTGAAATGGAAACTGGAATCAGGAACAAACAAGTCTTTTCCATTTTTTCCCCAAACTTTGCTGCTTTTGATTAAGATTGAAATGCAGACTAGATGCAAAACATGTTTGTTGGCCAATCAGTTAGCTACTTTGAATTTTGAAACGAGAGGCAGAAGCTCCTTCAGCACTCGGTCTAACAAAGCCGATCAGCTGTCACATATCACAGCAACTATCAGGTTAACAGCCCAAACCAAGGTCAAAATGTCTGTTATTTGTATTTGATTAATTACTAAAGAGAACTACATTCAGTAGAGCAGTTTTTAATAGTCGTGGGTCACCAAGTCAAGGCTCCTCAGCCTTCAAGTCTCAAGTCAGGTCGAGTCTTCAGGCGCTCAGGTCTCAAGTAGGTTGAGTCTCACAGCAGACAAGTCGCAAGTCTACAGCTCTCAGAAGAGTATAACTCTTAATACACAAAATCCATGAATGTGCTCACATTAAGTATTTATGAAAGCTTTCTTAAAGGACATTACAGACAAATTGAACTTAGCAGCTGTACTCTACCTGAAACAATACCTCGCATCACATGCAGCTGGAATTAAGCTCCAACATTAAGCTCCAACATTTCCTCTTTGGGTTTCATGCTGAGGGAGACACCAGCAGTGACACTGCTATGGGTGACTGACTAGCTCTGCCATCTATCACCACGAAATTCCAGGATGACAAAATGGAAAGTTTTACTTCTACAACTCTCCCCGTCTCAGTCGTCTCTGCCCGGACTTGCCTTAATTGCAGCGGTGGGACAGTTGCGCAGAGTGTAGGTTCTACCTTCTGTGAACAGACATCGGATGGAAAAACATCGGCAGGTAGGCATTAGATGCCAGCTGCTGGGTGTTGCGTTGCATCGCGTACTGCATGATGAAAGCCTACTGATGGAACAGATGGAAAACCTTCTAAAAGTTGCTGAGTATATGGCAGTAACGTTGAAGAGACTTCCGACCTGCGGTGCCTCTCCTGCTCTAACTTTCTTTCCACCTCACAGAGTTGAGTGTGATAGAGAAACCAGTCAGAATAACAGCGCCTTGAGGCGGTGGGTGGGGGTGGGGGGCTCTGACTTGGATCCGATTGAGTCCAAATTGACATCTGGTTTTTCTAACTCTCCAGTGTAATTGTGAGTGGGAGTGCATGCACGCAACAGAGGCGGTGGTGCAGGCTGCCGGTGGAGGCTGTGCTGCATTTCAGCCTGCGTGACTATCTTTGACAGGTGGGAGGATGTGAGTGGGTGTCTGTAGAGCAGAGAGAGGAAAAGACAGAAAGACAAGGGACTGGGGGGGGAGAGAGATGAGGAAAGATATCGTAAAATATAACAACATGCAGAGATTTAGAGAACTGAAAAAAAACGATAGTGGGAATACTAATATCGTGAGCATGTCAGTGTGAGTGAAGGGAAAGGTAATATGCAAGGTGAGTAAGAGTATCTGTCGGTCCTCTTGCAATATCTGTTATGTTAGGCCTTCGACCAAGTCTACAGATCTATTCAGAGCGCACACGCCTCACCTGACAGCAGGTAAATCTCTGCTCTTTAAGCATACCGTCCATGCTGAAATAAAATGTGCTAAAACCAACATTCGAAGCCGGACATCCTTCTTGCTGACTTTACTTTCTGTTTAGGCTGCTATACATTTCAGAGGAATGTCATTAACTCTTGAATTCTATAAAAAAGCCCAGTTTTTACTCCCCAAGGTCATTTGCCTTTCTAGTCTGACAAGAGGAAAACTCTCTATGTAAAAAGTCTTTGTCCCCAGATCTATAAGACAGAAGAGGCTCGATTTCCAGACGTCAACTCAGCAGTTTTTAATCTCTGTTGAGGGATGAGTGTTCACTCACTTATAGTGAGCAACTCGAGACATCAGTGGTATATCTAAGACTGGGATGACTCGGTTTGCAGAAGCAAAGAAATAATCTTTATAAGCCAGGTTCGCGTGTCTGGCTTGGTCAGCTGTTTTGCGTTCATTCATCTTCTCACTCCCCTCTATCTCGATTTATAGTTTTACACAACTTCCAAGAACAATGTACCAAGAAGAACAAGAGCAGCAAAATAGATGCAAGGAACAGTACCGTTATTAATGAAACATCACCTAACCGAGCTTAAATGATGAAGGAAAACAAACATCAGCGGGTCAATATTGTCAAACCTTTGTTTGTAAAAGAGCTAAATAATAAATACAAAGTTGTTCCATACCATCATTCTATGTTTCTCCACGGTTGGCTGTGGGGGTCTGGTTTCTTCATAGCCGCTTCCTTCACCTGAAGCCTGAGGAGACCAATCAGACATGTTTTAATTTTATGTCAACGAGATGTTCTTTCGTTGTTTTACTGAACTGACAATTAAAAACATGTCACATCGAAAACAGTTCTTTAAAATGCACGTGTCCATGCACCATGTGTGTCAGTTGATGAACTCTACTTTAAGTGTGGTAAAGTTCAAAAGGAATGTAGCTGTTTAGTTAGCAGTATTTTATTAAATATGTGTACAGTACATGTATTTTACATAACGACATAATCTCTATCAGACCCAGCTCTAGACAACAGGGGGCCCTCGACAAGATTTTCTTTGGGGGCCATCCTTACTTTTTGTGTTTGTGAGAGAGAAAAACACGCACACAAAACAGTTATGAGATTGGGGTGGGATCATATTATCATGTTTTTTTAAGGTTATTGCGATTCATTTTTATTTTTTTAAAGCAGAAGACAACCATTCATTAATTTTCCTTTTCCTTAACTATTGACTGCATTAATGTGTCAGAGCAGGGGCTTTGAATAGATATGGCAATTAACATAATTTACAACATAGTACATCGCTATATAATATAACCTTAAAGAAACTAGATATAATTACTACCACAGCCGTTGATTGGCTTTTTGTCCCCCAGCAACTTTCTTTATTAAAAAAATAAAAACATTGCGAGGACCTACTCAATTGGGCGGCTAGCACTAACCTCTATGCTATTTGTGCTCTGAGTGACAGTACCACTTGCCTGGTGTTTTTATTGCTGTAAATGTGTTTTTTTATGCCATGTTCTTGGCCAGGTCCATTCTAAAACATACATCTAATCTCATTGAGCCTTTTACCTGAATTAAGGTGTTATTTAACACTGAACTCTCTCTAAATTGTCAATACTCTATGGCGCTCCACTAATGTCATTAAGTCAAATGCTTGTATATTTGTTGAATAATTTACAATACAGTAAGTTTGGGCTCATTGGCTTCAGAACGTCTTGGTAACGCTATACCTTGAATGTGTCCTCAGAACAGCTGTGTGTGAGGTTAGCATTTGAGATAAAAGACACTTCCTGAAATCGGCAACCTGTCATTTCTACTTGGAATGTGATTCTCCCATCTAATCCAAACAACATCTAAAGATTTGACGACAACAAGCGGTAAAATCTTGAACCTTGTTCTGTCAGTAGGGTCGAGGTTTTGGTGGTCTCAGCGAGCAGAGCAGCTGTGGAGGCAGCGTTTCATTAAATAACAGTAAATGCTGCCGGTGGGCTGCAGCGAGGCACCTGTGTTTGTGTGTGGGTGGCCAGGGTCGGCGCTGAAAAGGCTGCACTCGGGCTCTTATCTGTTACGGATTTACTATTGTAAAATGCTGGAATAAATCAACAAAGTACAGTAAAATTAATACTTGTGCTATTTTAGGGCTTCTCCCTGATGCAGTGGCAGATCCAAAAGCAAAGTCTTAATAGCCTATTTGAAACGATGGGTCCCTGATTTCTGAGAGAGGTGGACTAAAGCAGGCTTCTCGTTGCTAGCCAACGACCATCAATTTTGGCAAATGCTGGCAGATTTCATTAGCTTCAGCTAGTTAGCCAATTAGATTAATGTTAGCTCCAGGACTTGGTTGAAAACGTTTCCAGCTGACTCTTTTTGAAATGATAATCTTGTAAAGGGGGTTTAACTATGCACATGATGGCTGGAAATCTGCTAACATTAGCCTGAACTCTGGCAGCATCCAGGACTGGCTTCCTCACAGTGGGGAAGTACTACACAGTGGTTCTGCTGGATGTGAAACAGGTCTTTCTTTTGTGACCTGTAACCCAGGGACTATATAGAAGAAGTGGACTTTGTCACGGTGAAGTTACCCATCGGTTTGCGGACTGCTGTTTTTGAAGCCTTGAGTTTGGCATTTTGGCCGTTTGGCATTTTGGCCGTCGTCATCTTAGCCATCATGTTTTTTTTCAAGCAGAAGCGACAGGAAAAGGTGGAGCTGAGTATGATTGAATGCTGAATAAGACAATCTTAGGCGACCAAAATGTTAAAATTAACTGTCATGAACTGAAAACACACTTTGTAACATTTAAAGTTTTAAGACAGACGGACAACACCCAGGCTGGACAATGCAGTGGTAGCAACCTGTCAATCACAAGATAGCCACGCCCTGAAGCATACACTGCTTTATGGTCTATTTTACTGTAATTGGGACAAAAATGTATTAAATGATCATTCTGAAAAAGACTTGAAACTAGCGACTGAGGCCACAAACTCATGTTTACAATGTTTACTGAGGTAATAAATCAAAAGAGGAGTAGGGTAAACTTCTCATAGACTTCTATACAATCAGACTTCTTTTTGCAACCAGAGAGTCTCCCCCTGTGGTCCATTAGAGAGAATGCAAGTTTAAGGCACTTTTGCATTGGCTTCACTTTTCAGACGCCGTGGTTGCTGCCTGCTGTAACCGCACAAACTAATGTGACCCCGTTAGATAACGATGCTCTATGGTTGTTGTAGCGCTTGTTTAGCCACATGCTAATGCTCTGAGCTTACGTTAAAGCAGATAAACATAATCAATACCTCACAATTTGCTCATGTGTTTTTGGTTTTGGAAAGACTTGACAGGCCTGCAGTGCCTGCTAACTGTTGCTAAGCTATGACTGGACAATAATTGTTTGAGGGAGGGGTTGTGCTAAAAGTTGACATGTGTGAACAATCTCATCACCAAATACTGTTTTATATTTCTGTCTTATAGTAGGTCTATTTCTTGCTGTCATGGCACAGTGGTTCATCACATGTCAGGTATCTTCAAAGTGTGATTAGATGTTATTTACCATATCTGAGTCATCTTCATCCTCTTCACAGTGCCTCTCAGCAGCACGGGGGTCTCCCACCACCCTCAGCTCACCGATCACTCCCTGTCAAAAGACATATATAATGTGCGATGAGCACTTGTTCTCAGACACACAGACACACACACACACACAGTATGTCTTACTTTCAAGATAAAAATATGCTTATCTTATCTTCTATATTTCAAGGAATTCCCCATTTCCGTGAAATCAGAGAGGCTATTGATGTCTCCATTTTTAGTGTCGGCCTGTGAAGTGCCACTATCTCTGCCCCACACAGACACAATCTGATACATGTTCCCACACAGGACAGTTGCACAGATAGCATGAATGCTATCTGAAGGCCTATCAAAGGGCCATTAGGTCTGAATGAACTCAGCAGGCTTCTCTGCTGCTGAGTTATTTGAAGTCGACTCTTCAGGACACATTTATGCCCTGAGAAAAAAGTCAAATGGATTTTTTAAGAGAACTTTGAAGATAAACAGCAAAGGCTCTTTGACAATGGAACCATGTCTCTAGACAGGCTTTTAATGGTCATTCTTTTTTTGTAACTTCCGCAATGTTTAGTCGACGTGTCATGGTCTTTTTCTAACAAATTGCTTTAGATCTTCACTAAAGTATGGTTTTCCTGCGAGGATAATACAAAAAAGGGACATCAACTAAACAAATCCAGTTTCAGAATGGAATTTCCATTTTATAAATATATAATGTAAATATTTAGATGCCAAATAAGCCCTCCAAGTCTTGATTTGATTGAAGAAATTAACTTCGCAAGACATCTCCAGCTTAGGGCCATGCTTGGGTCAACATATGGCACGTGGCCAACATGTCCTGAAACAGGGTTAGGTTGCCTTTTCCAAGTGAGCAGCTTGTAATACATCTTTCTCACAAAATATCCGACTCCAAGGAAATACCTTATATGGGCTTGAGTAATAAAAGAAAGAAAAGCTCAAACTGTGTGTAGCAGAGTTACAATGTGGTTTACAGCAAAATAAGTAATAAAAATGATTAAAGCAAGTTAGAGCTGACAGAGGAAGCGAGAGATAATGTTACAGCTGGGAGAACACTAAAAACATTATCTCAAGGGCTCGCAGCCAAATGGGAAGTAATCATTTGAATTTTTGACATATTTAGTAGTTTAAATATGTCTTTATAATGTACAAATATAATAATTGTTATTAAAATATACTCTTAAGCTGTGGCTTGAGTATCCCCCCCAATAAGCCCCTTATTTGGCTCGCCTGTAAAGGGCTTGTGCCCTCATGTCTTATTAACACAACAGGGAGGTCATATACTGTATGTCCATAGAAGCAGCAAGACTCCCTACTTGGCAACACTGAAGAGTGAAAGCGGCAGAGAAAAGCATCATCGTCATGTTGAAGTGAAACTCAAAAAGAGAAAGGTCATGTTGGGATGCCAACAAAAGCCAGCCATCTATCAAAAGTCAATGAATAGCTTCCAACCAAGACAGTAAACGTCTTTTAAATATCAAATTTCTAAGATAAATAAAAACATTTTTTGCATGAATTAAAGATATCTCCACACACTTTAATGGATTGTATTTTCAGGTGTAACTTCAAAAGAACTGAAGTAATGAATAATCGTCAAAATATTCCAAATAGTAATTTTTCTCCAGATTGTAAGTGAATAATGAATCATAAAACAATCAGTCAATAGTGATTGTTTGACTCATTGTAAAATGCTCCCAAGTATGTATGTAAATAACTTAAGCAATAGAGTAAGAGTGTCAACGCCTGCAGCAGTGGCATGTTTTGTCCGTGCAGGTAGCCGTCGGTGAACTACTATAACCCTTTAACAGCTAAGGTCAACAGTTGTTGGGGTCAACCACTGGGATTTACAGCAGTCAAATGACTGAAGTTAATTATCTCCCAACTGTGAGGTTTTCCAATTATTTGCAGTCTACTCTGGAGAAGATGGTGAAGCGACGCAGACATTTATGTTGTGGTTTAGAGTAGGCCAATTTGAGCAATGAAATCATATGAGTTATTCGGCCAAGATGTTTCACATGATTGACTGTGGAAAGTCAAAACACGAAACGGTGTGTGGGAATGGGAAATGTGCAGTCTTCTAACTCCAACACAAGAATTAGTGTGACTTATTGAATACAATAGAGCCGAAAAATAAAGATTGTTTTCTCGACCCTATGAACACAGTTTATCTTTCATCGTCATACAGCCCTTAAATAAATAAAAAATCCTGATTTCCCGGGACTGAATATTGTCTTGTTGAAAATAGACGACGCCCGTGTACACACCACAAACTTGTCAGGATCAGCTCCTCCAGCTTGCCCGACAAAGACCCCGGCACCGGCCTGCAGGTCCATCTCGTCCGGGGACCTCTCGATGCGCATCACCTGAGGGTCTGTGTCACAGTTGAGGTAGAACATCACCTTGTCATCCCTCACAGCAATGGCAAAACGAGTCCAGGTGTCCCTCATGGAGGGCACGAGGAACCTGGCCGCCTCGTACGACTTCTGCGATTTGGGCTCTGTGTAGTACAGGAGGACATTCTGGTTGCCGCCCTGCTCGGCCGACAGTTTAACACCCACATACATGATCTTCTGTGCGGCATCTGTGACGGAGAAGATGACGCCGGCCCGCTCGGTGGTGGGTTTCAAGTTGAAGATGAGGGCGAAGTCTCGGTAGAACGGGCTCGGCAGGTGGGCGCGGGCCAGCTGGCCCGTGTTGGCGTCACGGTCAAAGACATAGCCGGGGCTGCTGTCGGGCCCATAGACCTGGGCGATCGTACTTGGAGGAGGATCCCCAATCAGCTGTAGCAGGGAGACTCCATTGTCTTCTAGAAGGGAGAGAAAAAGGATGTGAGGCCACAATGCGTATGACATATGTTGGAGGTTAGAAGAGAGGGCTGCATGGCAGGGTACAATGTTAGAACAGGTTATATTAGGCTGCTGGGGGTTGACTTCAAGTGAATGTGCCTGTTGGATGCAGGAACAACTGCTATTACTTGCATAGGACCGTAGTCTATGTTGCACAAGAACAAAACAAAAAACAGCATAATTGGTCAAAGATGTTTCCCTTTCAAAAGTGATGATTTCAATGAATGTAGATGGAAAGTTACCAGAACTGCCTCCAACCAATCTGCAGGCTTTTTTTGAGAAGCATTGGCAGAGCTACTCTACTCAGGGGACCAAAGAACAAACACATCATTTTAGAACTTCTAGCCCGAAATATGGAAAAGGTTGACATCTCCCAAAAAAAGCCAAAGGGATAGGCCACATGAGACGATGAGCAGATAGTTTAAGCAGACATTGCAAAGCAAACTTGTAATTCAAAATCTGAAGGCAGAGTCTAAAAGATACATACAGTACTTAAGAGTTGACTGATTTAGCTCTCAGTATCTGAGAAAAACAACACCTAATGTGTCGAGAAAACAATCTTTATTTTTCTGCTCTACTGTATTTACCTGAGAAAGGTATGAGCGTTATTATTGACTGTAGTGACAGAGGAGTCGCAAACAGAGGAGTCATAGGAGCTATAGCTTCTAGATGTGGTCTCTGCTAAACTCTATGCCAGAAAATGACATCATCAGAGCGAAACAAATCTTGCGCATTTAAAAACATTGAAATTTTCTATAATATTGATAAATCTAGTGCGTGTAGAATAGGGTAAAGATTATTATAGATGCATCACATTCCTGACCAAACTAAAAATAAAATAAAATTTTGAAAAAATCTTTCGACTTGTGTGACATCTACTAAATGTCACTGCTCCGGGGCACACAGGGACCAACAGCTGGGCCTCCTGCATATCTTTGCTCACTCTTCCATCACCCTGGGTGACCCTGGCGGGGTCGCTGCATAATGATCGGAGGCGTTTAGGAAATAAAAGGAACACAAAGGGCAATGTGTTCACATAACGGTGGAGATGTCTTACTAGCATCAAACTGGAGACCGCACCTTTTCGGCTTTGATCAAAAAAATGATGTGTCCTCATGTTAAAAGAGAAATCACTGTTTTGGGAGAAGACAACGTTGTTTTCTGGTGCTTTGAAGAAATGCTTTGGTTTGCCACCTGGTGAGTAATACGCGAGCTCCATCGCCCGGTTCAAAGCCTCCCCGCTGGAGATCAGTGGGGTCTGCAGGCGGCTTTGTTGAGAGCTCAAACACGCGATGCGTCTAGCTGAACCCGAGGTCCTGCTTTCTGCTGTACAACCATAAACCCGGGTCTGAGCTTTTTCTGCACGCTGTCTGAGAACTGAAGATGCTTTCATTTGAGTCTGAGCAAACAGAGAACACAGTCCCACTGTATATGGAAAGCGATAAAAAATACTTTCCAGTATTAAATATGAAGTTGCCCTCTGCACCAATCAGACGGACATTTGTGAAGAAGACGCCTCACTAGATGCACATTTTATTATGTTACCAGAATATATAGATAAAGCACCAATAGTACAAAGATGTGCTACATTAGTTCACAGTACAAATGCTACACTTTGGGTCAATTTCAAAACAGTATAATAGTGGAAAATCCAATAACATACAACCAATATAGCAAGCTAAAAAACTGATTATAATAGCTATCTATAGAATATCTACTTATAAAAGACACTACAAATGTTTGTACATGTCACTTGATAAAACCTTGATAAACCTTTCTTAATTTGAAAAACCTGAAACAAACATGACCTTAGCATAAAACTGACATTTTCTATGTAAGAAATAGACGGACGCAGACGGACACGAAGAGTGCCAGCTCCAGAGCTCCATAAGTAGACTGGGACTCCTTGACTGCTGCATGAATGGCAGTTAACAACTGACTCATTTGCACCAGGTCTACCAGATGTTTGCTCTGATGAAGTCAGAGTGAGAAACCTGGAGGGTCTCAGCAGTGGGCCTCTGCTCACATGTCTGGCTCCCTCTTACGTGCACCATCTTTGCCAGAGTAGGGTTGCTGAAGCTGACATGTGAGCGATCATTAAAGCAGAAAGACTCCATAAATGTTCTTTTTGATAACATGTGTACAGAGAAATGCCGCTGCTAAGTGCAATTCACTTGCTTCAACAAATTTGAACGTTTTCAAAGAAACATGCAATTTGTGAACTGTACATTAGCAGCTGGTCATGACTATCAGATTTGTATGCAGATTAAACTTCAAGGTCTGTAATGAATTGGAATGCGAGGTCTCTCAAACAGAGTCTGGTTGTCCCCCTCTCAAGAAGACGTCATACATGCTTCAAACATCTGATTTTCTTATGCATTCCCCAAATGAACAGCAGACATCCTCACACATGCACACAGCTTCCGAGCTTCCCAAACCCCTTATTAGCGAAACACATACTAGTCATCACTCACACCAACCAGATGTGAATTACCAAAAAGAAGACACATCCTCATGAACCAGACGGTTCAAACACTAGAAGACAAACAGGATCAATCTTTACTACAAATACAAAAAAAGAATCCTGATATAATTGTGCCAGATGCCAGGAAAGAAAAACAAAAAAAAAGCTTTGAAGTGTAAATAAAGACAATTTCATCACTGGATCTAAAGCGGCTAAAAAGGTTTGACCTGCTTCAGGCTTGCAAAGGAATGCATTGGCTGAAGCCTGTTCAATGAGCCTGCATTGTCAACAAAGGGGCAGCCAGTCATTCCTTCTCACAGATCAAAAATTGCTGGGTACAAACAAGGTTCACCATTAGCATTTTAAGTGCGATCTCAATTCAGGTTTTTCCAAACAGCTTTTGTTCACCAATGACAGCTTCAAGGCCAATCGGGAAGAGAAAAGGTCTGCTGATGAATGGACCGGTGCCGGGTTTATGGCGCTAGTTTGTCTTGTCAAGAAGGCGGCTTACTGAACAGGAACGCGGCTCTTTTTTTCATTTCCGAAGATTCCAGGACGGGGTACCAGAGCTTGTGATACCCTGTTGATAAAGCTGTATATACAGTGTGGGGCTGTGTATACAGCTTTGGGAAGTACAGGATCCTGTGTAATCCATGGGAAAACATTTGAACATCTGGACAGTCCCAGAAAAACTTTGCGGTTTCCCTGACTACGTTCCATCACCATTTAAAACATCCCTTGAGGCCCGCTGACAAGGGCAATGATCTCTCCACTCACTCTGCAAAAAAAGCTGGTCAGTGGTCTGACCTGTGTTCAAAGAGAGTGTCTGTTAGAGTTCAACTCTGGAGACATGAAAATTACTACCCCATGATTTTACAAATGTACTACAATTTGTATGCATTTGCTGCATAAACTATGTCTGTCAGCCAATTGATTTAAAAGTGAAGTAAATTAAATTTGGTCACCGCTCAATTGATCCCTGTTTGATCTTAGTTCCTGTCTGCTCACGGGACTAAAGGGAGCCATTTGCAAGGCTTACAATGTTAAATCAATGACAAGTACTTTGTGGAGTCCATTTTATCTGCGAAAATAAAATAGTGTACATGATTCGTTTTGATACGACATGTTGCCCACTGTGTTGCGGAACAAATACATGCAAACACGGGTGCACTATAAACTCAGTATCACTTCAATAATTTTATCTTGTGCGAGTAAATATAATACCGTGATTACTACTTACATACTACATAAACTATAACAATACCTATAGTAGCATAACTAATCTTCAACAGCTCCATAACCAACATCAGATTCCACTGCAAGGAATATGAATTGTTATGTCCCTAAATTATAAGAAGAAAAAAGAACACAGGACGTTTTAAATATCAAGGTACATATCAACACCCTGGATAAATGCGGCTTTCTTTCTGCAGAGGATATTCTGTAAACCCCTGGGCAGATTTTGCGGTATCTTTAACCTGATGATGCAGAATGCTCGGGGAAAAAAAAATATGTCAAACCAAAAACCACATCACAGTCCAGGAAGGAGATTTCATGTTGGCTTGCCGTTAAGATTCAGCTGTGATTCTCAAACCACAAAGAGGAAGATGGGCCTACCGCAAGCTGTGCACTTTAGTCTTTGGGGAAGGAGTAATACGATAGTGTTCAAGTTCTCTAGCTGTAAGTGACGAACACTTAGTCAATATGCAGGGTGTAAACAAAACCCTTCCAAAACACTTTTTGGAATGCTGGGGGGAAAATAGTTTGTACGATATTCACAGATGCACAGTGGAAATGCTTCTAAATAGGTTTAGAGCTCATTAAAAATGTTGAAACAGCAGCGCTCTCCTCTAGAAACTGCTATAAAAAGCTTTTAAGAGTGTCACAATTGGGCTATTATCCAGCGAGAGTACTGTGTGTTGCAACACTGCCTCATCAGTTCTCGTTTTGTACCAGTGCAACACAAACCGGAGGGGGCAATGAGTTTCTGGCAGCAAATAAAATCTGGCTACACTGTGCCCATAATTGGAACCCTCCTGAGAGCCAACTCAAAATGATTCCCTGGCAAGCAGCGAGCTGAAGAACTGGAGCCAGCTTTCCTGTCATGAGATACAATGTCAATCTCGGCTCAACTGAACCTTGGTACTATATAAATCAATGTCAAACCACCAAAAGGGTGCACGAGCCACCAAAACAACGAATAAATGTACACCAATGCCACCAAAAGACAGTGTATACCCATAGCCCACGGGGGGCTGTTTTAGAGTGTGCAGCATTCAGCGTGTCGTAGAAAGCATTTTTCATAAAGAAATATGATTATTGCTCCAGACATATTAAATATCGAATTAACGGGAAAAGTCCGAGCAACATCATCATACCAGCCATTGTAAACACTGCAAACACAATTATACATGAACTAATATCATATCTGGAAGATATCTAGAAGATTTGCCACAATTTATGCTCACTCTATGGCTCTCTCATCACGGAGCAGGA